TTGGCTACCGTTAACCCTTTCGTATTCTTTATGTGTTAAGTTTTTTTTATATGTGTGTATGTGTTGATAGTCTAATTAAAAGTCTCTGTGTAGTTTAATGCTTTGATGAATGTTGAAATGAGCTTTTCTGAGCTCATGGATCTCTGTGGAGTCAAGCAGCATATCTACTGAAAGGATATAATCAGTCAGATATATACTGTCATTACTGCTAAGAGTTGAACCAGTAACTGTCTAAACACAGTACTGGATAAGCAGAAGATAATACAATACCCAATACTGACCTGTACTTTCATTCCCCTCAGAATGTGGACGTGTATGTTGGTCAGCGACGGACAGCCCTGTTGCGTGTTGGTGCTCAAATGAGAGTGGGCAAGACAATAGATCAATTGCTTGCTCACCTGGAGCCTCGGATCAAGCAGGTGCTGCAGGTGATGTCTTTCAGCCACACTGACATCACTGCAGCCCTCAGCGACAGGGTCCGTCTCAGCCCTGGCAACAAAGAGAGCATCGCTGACAGTATGAGGGCCTTTAAATCCAGCCCAGGTTTGTTTCAGCACTGTCATAAAGTAGACTTGTTCCAGTCAATATATGCTTCAACTTTATGAACACTGCTTGTTCTTATCTTCTCTTTAGGTTATGAGATAACATTCAGTCTGCTGAACCCAGACCCAAAGTCACACCGGCTATACTGGGACATAGAGGGAGCCGTGCAGACCTACATCCAACCTTTGCTTACAAAACTGGCCCCTGTGGCCAACTTTAGCATTGACTCTCAGGTACTGTGAGTGCAAGTGAGTGAATGTGCACAATGACAAGATGTGCAGCTACTATATTTTGATAAACATATTTCCCTTACAGACCCTGTACTATGCAATGCTTGGTGTCAACCCACGCTTTGACAGCAGCCGCAGCGCCTACATACTCAACTCTGACAGCCTCGCACATGTCATCAACCCTGTGGAGGCTAGACTGGGTAAAAAAAACCAACACACACACACACTGAAGGTTTATCACATTTGCCAAAAGCAGAAATGTGGTGGAGTTTGTTCTGGTGTGTTTATATCTGTATCTTTTTGTATTTGAATTTTAGGCTCAAATGCTGCATCTTCCAACCCGGTGTTGAATTTTCTTCTGTACGTCCCAGATGCCCACCATTCACCCCTTTACATTCATGACCACAGGAAACAGGAAGTGCCGTCTAATGCGTTTCACTCCCCACGTTGGGGTGGCATCATGGTAAGATAATAAAGAGCAACACTGGGTGACAGTAGTGTAAATACTACGAATGGTTATAACTGATTATAAGTGAATATGTTCTGTTAATACTTTGTTAGCTATGCATTGTTAGTGATTTTACACTCTTATTTGTTGTCTTTAATGTCTTATCCATGTCTTCTTAGGTGTATAATGTTAATAGTTTCTATGGACAAGAGGCCGTGTTCCCCGTTGACATCAGCATCAACATGGCCAAAGTCATGGGAGTCTTCCTCGCACAGCTTCGGTAAGTGGACGCCTACAGTATGACGGATATTGGTTTTCCTGTAGACAAAAGGTAACTCTCCTTCACCATGTCCTGTCAGACTGTTGCTGGGAGTGCAGTCGTCCACTCCTCCCCCTGGCTTCATAGTGGCGCCATGTGGCAGTGCAGGACTAGCTGATTGGGAGCTAGACCGTCTGATGTGGAGTCGGAGTGTAGAAAATGTCGCAACAGCAACCACCACCATCACCTCACTGGCACAGCTACTGGACCAGATAGGAAACATTGTTATCAACGACAACATTGCTGAACAGGTAAGACGCAGCTGCATCGATCAGTAGTTTATATGTATTTGTGAGCAGATATGAGTGTGTATAAAAGGTATACTTACTTACTAAAACGTCAGGCTGAAAGAGTGAATAAATGAAGGAATTACAGTACCTAATTCGATATGTAGACTCTAAACAAAGTGTATTATGCCACTCTCTTTCCTATAATTGCATTGGTTGTATCCAACCTGTGATTGTCATTGCTGCCCCTCAGGTGTCCAGTGCCGTCACATCTCTGCAGCTGGCTGTGGCCGAGCTGGAGGCGGGAAACCTCGGCTTTGCTCTGCAGTACAGTAAAGAGGCCATCTTGGCATCAGAGAGGGCGTTCTTTGACCCTTCACTCCTCCACCTCCTCTACTTTCCTGACGACCAGAAGTTTGCCATCTACATACCACTCTTCCTGCCCATGTGTGTGCCCATTCTGCTGTCACTGCTCAAAATAGTGTCTGAGGCCAGACAGAGACGCAGAGAGAAGCAAGCCAAGAAGGACTGAGAAACACCAATGTGACAACAACAGCAAAAAACATGAACAGATGGTTTTATCGGTGGCCTTGGCATTTAGGCCCAAAGGTATGCATGAAGAGAGACTCATTTGCAGCATTGGGGTGTGGAATTGCAGTCATGTATGATTTTTATTGTTTCATGCCAGGAATTGTGTTTATTGTAAGATTTTAATGAACGGCTAGCGTGGAGGTGTGACACTGTATACTGGAAAGCTTGAATTGTTGTAAATGTGAACAAGTTTTATATTTGAATTCCACTTTCTATTCTAAGTTATTAACAAATAAAGACTTAAATTTTAACTCATGGTTTTGTGCTTTAATTAGCAAGAGAATAAGAATAACCTGATTTATATAAAGTTGAGCAGGCACTCCTAAAGCAACTTACACCAATTTTGTCTAAGTTGAGGCTGAAAGAAGTAAACTGACTAAATAACATTAACATAAGGTCCACTTAATATATTTTTTCACAGCATTGCATCTTGCTGTCTTCATCAGTTTGTGATTCAGTGGTTTTTTAATTGTTTGTCTTGCTAGTCCGATGCATTTGTGTTTGTACTACAGCAGGGGTCATTGACCGATCCTGAATGTGACATAAGCAAGTCGGCAATTGTATCCTCAGTGATATATTAACTTTGTATTTTCATTTTTTTTTTTTTAAATGTGAAAAGGGCCAAGAAAAGATACACACTGTTGACAAAACAGTCTCACCTCAAGCCTCATTTTGTAACTGCTTTTAATTGAATATGTGGAGGACATTGCCTGCACACACTAAGGAAATAAACATGAAGCAAATGATAATAATAATAATATAATAATAATAATAATATTTACAGTAAATTCAATTTTGTACGTACAGAAGACAAAAAAGCTGTTTCTCTCTCAGAATAAGTCAGTATAATTTACATTTACAGCAAAACAGTTTTACAGGACAGGTTCTCTACTGCTTACATGATGTCACCGACTTATCCCAAACGGCACATAATACAAGTTTAACTGAAAAAGAAATTGGCTATTACAGCAAACACATCTTTCACTGGTGATGAGAACGTCCCTGACACTGGGGCCTATTAATAGCTCCTGAAAAATGAGGTCAGAATCCACGCTCTGACCAGTAAGCAAGGGCATTAATTTCAGCACTGGGGGGATGTTTGGAGTTTGGGTGTCCTCCGCCAGAAAACTTTGACCATTAAATAAGTCTGGGCACAGACCCAGGGGCCGAAAGTGTCAGGCCCTCCCTGGCCTTCATCTGCAAAATGTTAATCCAATTCCTATGTACCGACTAGGAAGAGACTCGAGAAGACAAAAAAAGAATGAAAAAAAATGCAAAGGAACTGCAAAAATGGGAAAAACAACCATAAAGAGACATAAAACCACAAAGAGTTGCATAACAACTACAAAAAGATGCAAAAGAACAAAAAAAGAGGCAGAACCACTTCAAAGTCTGTGTGACTTGCCGCTGTGTTGCAGAGATGGTGGGGCCTCATGCATTTCTGTGCCCAGCTGCCCACCGCCTCATAATCAACACATGCTTTCCTGTATTCTGCTGAATTTTTATGCAACACTTTATACTTTTTCTGCATCAATTTAAAGTGTAAATGTCATTTTTTTTTTTCATAATAAAAGTCCTCTCCATCTTTTATGTTTTTATTAGGGGAGACAAACGTATGTTCTAAATATTGGGATGGACATGTCCCCTGTGTCCCCACCTAATCTACACCTATGACAGCACACATGTAAATCATGCTGACAGAGCATGATTATCATAAAAGGAATGACGGACACAGCATTAAATGATAACTATTGATGTTTATTTCTATTTTTACTCTTCCATGTCACATAGTTTTCACTGGGTACTGTTCTTTACTTTTCAGAGGAGGGTGGTGGCTTGGATGGGACTTCTTCTTCTTCTTCTTCTTCTTCTTCTTCTTCTTCTTCTTATTTCATTTTGACCCACCCTGAAGCTACAAGTATGTTTCTGTGAGCCTCCCTGAGTGACTGTCGGAAAATGCATGACCCTCCCTCCACCATAAATTAGTTATTAGATTTTTAAAACTTACCCTTTCATGTTTGAAATTCAAAAATTGAAGACAGAATCCTCGTGCAAATGGTTTATTTTTGGCGAAATTTTAGATGTAGAATAAATTGTGTCCGGGGACCATCAGATGTTTGGAAATTCTGTTTCAGGCTAATGATAAATGGTGTAATTTATGTGATTTTTAAAGAAAACATGCCTTCCAAACCGACCCGCATGTTTTCTTTAAAAATCTATAATAAAATAAATACAACATACAACCATTTAAATTTGTGTGCCTCAGCCAAAATAAAAAACACAAGTCCCTTCCCAGTGCTGAAAAATGATTTGACATGCCTCCCCTTTTTGCACCACCACCTCTCCTCCATAAGTAACAAACAGTCCCTCAGCAGATGATATTTCCACTGTTGTTTTGCAATGAAGGAGCTAAAATTTACTTTTTTGTACGAATTGCAGATCATTTGTTATGACAGAAAGCTCCACAACAGCTCTTGAATGGACCTTGATGTGAGACTGTTTTGTAAACTTCTGTTTCCAAGACTAAATGAACTTTTCAGCTCCAACTAACACATATACTGTAGGGTGTTATTCACACTCAGTGCAGTAGGTGGCGGTGTGCGCACCTTTAAAAGTTGTGATCCATTCCGTCGCACCACAGAAGAAGAACACGACGCGGTAGTTGTATGGAGCTGTAGCTTACAACTTTTATCTCTTGATCGTTTTGATATCAACCTGAAGGTTTTCAGCTGTAAAATTAGCTAAGTAATTAACGAGAAAATCCCCGACAGTATCTTATATTCCGTGAGTTACCAAAGCGTCACTCCGTCGCTTCTTCGGTCGGAGGAAACCTGTTTAGCCCGCTTGCTAACTTCCTTAGCTAACTGTTATTGTTAGCTTGCTTATGCTAACATGTCAGGCGGCGGCGGTGTAGTTCGGGGACCAGCAGGGAGTAACGACTGTCGTATTTACGTGGGGAATCTCCCTCCGGACATCCGCTCACAGGACGTCGAAGACCTGTTTTACAAATATGGACCCATTCGGGATATTGATCTGAAAAACCGAAGAGGAGGGCCACCATTTGCCTTCGTGCAGTTCGACGACCCGAGGTGAGCTGCCGTGTCTCAACGCTGACGTTCACTTGTGCTATCTTACACCCTAACGTGTTTCCAAAAGATGGATATGCACCCACAGTAAACTATGTTGTGTTGCTGCACTATTCTTGAATTCGTGAATATAAACAGAATGCAGTGTTTTGTAAAAGCTTTGTGACCTGTAAGCAGCTGAAATCACTTTAAAGGCAAGATACTTCATGTTCAAGCTGATAAACTGGTTTTCTAAATATACACTCATTCTGAATTTGATGCCTGCAACACGTTATAAGGAAGCTGGACCGGTTGAAGCCATGCTCTTGTAACACGTGCAGAATGTGTCTTGGTATTGTAAATTTGAATTAAGCAGTGCTGTCCCTGGAAAAAGACATCGTCTGGATGGCAGTATATGTTGCTCCAAAACTCATATGTACCTCTAAGCATTAATGGTGCCTTCACAGATCAGCAAGCTACCCATGATGCCATGGGTACTCTCTCATACCATCACAGATGCTAGCTTTGAACTTTGGGCTGGTAACAATCTGGATGGTCCTTTGTCCCAGAGGACATCATCCATGATTTCCAAAAAACAATTCCAGGCCAATGTAGCAATATCCTTTATACAGTCCTGTTGGTTTTTTCAATGCAGTGCTGCCTGAAGGGTCAAAGGTCATTGCATATAATGTTGGGTATCAGCCTTGCCCATATGTGAAGAGATCAAAAAAAAATAAATCCTTGCCTTGAGAATCATTGTTTTTAAACTGCTGGACACTTTGCCCACACAGCCCTTTGTCCTTGTGAGCGTCCTTGCTTGTGACCAACTGAGCCTTTCCAGGATGCTTCTCTCAAACTCAGTCATGATATTATAATTTGTTACCAGTTAACCTATTTACTCATGGGATGTTCCAGCCCAGTCTTTTGTTGCTCCTGTCCCAACATTTTTTGGTGTTGGCAGGCATCAAATTCATAATAAGTGTATATTTAGATAAGGCACAAATGAATGAATGAAGTCAGAAAAGATTTGCAAATCACTGCATTCTGTTTTTCAGCCTCCCAACTTTTTTGGCATTTGAGTTGGAAATGTTTTACTATTCTGTATCACCATACTTTACCTGAAACGATGTCCCAGATCCTCTACTATATAATAATGTACCATATTATACTATTATGTCAGTTTATTTATGTCACTTTACTTAACACACCATTACTGACAATCACTTTACCACGTCATTTGTCTCCAAATGCTTTCGATTTTGATTCTGTTTTTGATTATGTATTTTTATAGCCTATTTTATCTGTTTATTTTTCTGTCCTTGTACTGCTGCAACAACCAAGTTTCAATAATTCAATAAAGGTGTATCTTATTTTATCTTTTATTGATACATTTACATGTCATTTTTCAGGAAGTAGTTTGTGATGCTATTGAATAGTGTTGTATTATATTGAGAGAGGTGTTTCTAATATTTAGGCTGCCCTCATCCAGAGCTGTTGTAGACTGTAGTTAGTTTTATCCAGGTACTAGGGTGTGTCTCACAAACCATCCTGTGAGTTTAAGTTGGGTAGCACCCAACCAGCATGTGGTTTTGAAGAACAGGTTCTTAAAAACCACATGCTGTGCTGCCTGTAACCTGGCCAACCAGTTTGTTCATAAAACCACAGGACGATGGATATAATTTAGAACTGCAATTATAGATTAGTTAACTAGTAACGCTTTGTATGACTGTTTTTAATTTGGCTGATTTGAAATTTGATGATTGCTAACTGTTGGATTTCAGGGACTCTGAGGATGCTGTCAGTGGGCGTGATGGTTACGACTACGATGGCTACCGCCTGCGTGTTGAGTTTCCTAGAAGTGGACGTGGAGGAGGTGGTGGTGGAGGTGGACCAATGGGCCCCCAGAGGGGAAGGCATGGTCCCCCCTCCCGACGCTCGGAGTACAGGGTGCTTGTGTCAGGTGGGTGATGTGTTCCTCACTCTGCAGGTTTTGCTTATCTCTTTATCTAAGATGTGTTTCTGAGTCTTGAACCACCTTTTCCTGTCAGGTCTTCCTTCCAGTGGAAGCTGGCAGGACCTGAAGGATCACATGCGAGAGGCAGGTGATGTATGTTACGCTGATGTGTACCGTGATGGCACTGGAGTGGTGGAGTTTGTACGCAAAGAAGACATGACCTACGCTGTCCGTCAGTTGAATAACACCAAGTTTCGCTCTCATGAGGTACGTACAGGGTTACAGCCTCAGGCTAACTTAGTAAGGAATGGCTGTGGGACTACAGTTTGGAATTGAAATGTTTCTCAGATGAAGAAAGAGGGAGTGAAGGTGAAAATGACCAGGCAGTAAGTAAAGTTTGAATGCTTATGTGATGTTGCTTTGCATCATAATTCTGGCTATACTTGTTATCCATGATGGAGTGAATATGACAGTGATGGTAGCATGCTAAGAATAAGCTGTAATGATCATAATACTTTTGGCCAAACAAACATTCATATATAGTAAAGCTGTAACAGTTTGTGTTTTCATACTGAATCATCACGGATGGGGGTGACGGTTCGGTGCACAAAGCCATATGCAAAATACACAGTATGCACATTGCTGCACGTGATGTGGTACAAAAGCTCACCCGGTTCCACCCGGAAACCTTTATCTGTATGCCGTTAGCAACGTTTGCTTAAGTTAGTATAACAAGCAGATAGGCGTGTGAGTCAGTCACGCTATGAGAAGCGCAAACTAAACACTGGCAAAAAAATACTCTCTGCAGGTTCCCAGTCAGCTTCAGCAGCACAGAGAGTTGAGCCCAACTCCTTATTCCTGCTGCTCTCAAGCAGTTTAATTTTCACTTTCGTTGCATAAGAGTTACTTTTCAGTTTTAAAGTCTAGTGTGACCTGTTGCCTTTTGGGGAAGTGTTCGTACAGTGTAATATAGAAGTTTTTAAAACTTGGGCTTGAGCTTTTGAACTGGGCTTTAAAGATGATGTCCAATTTGGGATTTGTTGTGGCTAATGAACATCTTTGCATGCGTGCACTGCCACTTATAAATCCAAGGATATGGACCAAAGCACAGGTCCATGTGCTACTTCAGCAACTGCATCTGTAAACATATTAAATGTACAGATGCAGTTTTAAGCTCTGATATGATTCCCCTAACATTTATTGTGACTGCACTTATTTTCTTCCTCTGTCTACCTGAGTCTCATGCAGCAACTTAAACATGGTAATGGATGCTTAATTGTGTGTGTGTGTGTGTGTGTGTGCGTGTGCGTGTGTGTATGTGTGTGTGTGTGTTTAGGGAGAGACAGCCTACATCCGTGTGAAGGTGGACGGTCCTCGCAGCCCCAGCTATGGTCGTTCCCGCTCTCGTAGCCGTAGTCGCAGCCGAAGTCGCAGCCGTAGCAGAAGCAAGAGTGGGTCACGTCGCAGAAGAGGGTCTCCACGTTACTCTCCTCGGCGCTCCCGTTCCCGTTCCCGCTCCCGCACCTAGATCCATCTTAGCTAATGGTGTGCCGCAGAGCCGGAGAGGACATCTTCACATCACTCAACAAATCCTGTATACTCACCACGGATCACCTCATGTTACCTGTTTACACTGTCTTATGTGTTACCTGTTCCCCTACTTTTTGTTGCATTTTTCTTTTTTTAGTTTCCATTTTTGTACACGGCCTGCTCGTTTTTCCCTTTTCCCCTTCTCATCAACATCAGTTTTCTGCCAACCATCTCCCACCCCTCTCTGTACTTTTCTTCTGCTTGTCCTCGTTGTACGCTTTATGTTTTGTTTCCTTTGGAAAGATTTTGCTTCTTTTAAGCATATACTACTGTCCTTTGACCTTCTTGTGTGTCTCTCTGTAGAGTTCAGAGGAACAGGATAGGATGGGGAACAGAGGAAACATTTCATATTAAGATAAACAGGAGGAGGAGTCAAATATGGCACCAATGGTATGATGGCTGTGCCTTGTCAATTTTAAAACCTGCATTATGAGGCTGTTCAGTTTTTTTTACATACACTTGACAGTAGAGTGCCGTTGTTGAATGTTTTCAGTTGTTACAAGTTGTGTTTACCAGTTTGTATTCAGAGACCCAAAGCTCGTGGTTTTTTTGCTTTTGTTTGTCTTTAAGTCTCCAAAGTAAATCTTAATTTTTTGTGGGACTGATTGTAGAGAGTGTTCCCTGATTTTCTCAACGTAAACTCCCTGGTAGATGCATTTGTTGACATTTTATTTTAGTATTTTTTGAAGGTGTGTTTCTAACTTGCCTCCTTCTCTTTGGTTCTGCTGGTATTCTGAAGGTTTGGACTGGGCACATTGTCCCCCCATTCCGGAGCCGGATCAGGATTCAGGATGAGATCAGGATTAGGATTAGGCTTCAGGATGGATACATGGATCAGGAGCATGGGAGCATTTTACCGGGAGAGGATCCTGACCCCCGGCCCTGTCCACATAACCCCATCAAACTGGAAATAGTGAAATATCCAACCTAATTGGCTTTCATATAATCCAAATTTTTTTTCCATTTCGTGTGGAACCTCAGAGACACAATCGCTGACGACACTGTGACGAGCGATTATTTTTCAGGTTTTTGTTTTTCAAAATTGTAAAAAAAAAAAAGAAGAGCAAAGCTCCACTCAAAACCAGGAGGAGGGCTGGGAGGTGCAGGATGGATCCACACGCTTAAGGAGAGTGGTAAATAGTGGGCGGCCATTAACAGCGGAGGAGGGAGGGAGGAGGGAGGACTGGGACGCGACAAGGGAATGTGACATAATGTGGTTTGTATCTTTTTCATAGGTCAGTCTTTTGCTGCAGAGGATTTCAGATTTTCTTAAGTATAATCTCCAGTATCCTAAAGCTTTATTCTCTTTTAATAAAACGTTCAGTAAACATGAGTTACGTGTTGGTGTTTTTCTTCCTCTGAATGTCTGATACCACAGAGGGTTGGGCACAAAAATACATGGAGGCATCCACAACACATGCAGCTGTGTTTGGGGTAGTCATAAGTAATACCGACTGTTTCTGGAGGACTTGATGCCTGATAATGTTTGGTGTGTTGTTTTATTTTTTCTAACAGTATTTTTATCAGCAATTTAATAAAGATATACAGAGTATTTAATTGGCAAACAGTAAGGACAAAAAGACAACCTCACCCATCAACACAAGAACAAACAGACCAATCAAAGGAAATCCAATAAAGAAGAAAAAAAGAAATGAATAAACTTGTGTGACATAAGTAGAGTATAACATGTTTCATTTCAGTTTTTCAGCCTCCATTTTTGCCTCAAAAGCTTAAAATGATTGCCAGGTGGCGAAGAAGCATGCAGTTTATTCTTTGACAAAACAGATTTTCTCCAGTTGTAAATGATAGATGAAAGTCCTTAATCCAATGTCCATAAGTTGGAGAAGAGTCCGTCCATTTACACAGGATGATCCTTCTGGCCAGAATTAAGCAGAGGTAGTGTCCCCTTCGGCTCTGCTTAAGTTAACATCTAGAGAAGTTACTCCAAATACACAAGGACATAGATGGGGTGACCAGCTGTCCAAACATTGTTTGAAAAAGTTTAAAATATTAAATCCTGGAAATTGTGTGCTGTTTTTACGAACGTGCCAACAATAGCAAAACCTGGAGTAATTTTATTTTCAGGCTGTACGTCCCATTCTCGTGGAACGCAGTATCTCAAAAATGGCTTGAGGGAATCCCTTAAAAGTTGGCACAAAGATTCACTTGGACTCAATGATGAACTAAGTAAAGTTTTGTATTCAAAGGCCAAGGTCATTGTGATCTTGTCTGTCATTCTCCTGAACATGATGGTCAATGGTCAACTTCACTATGACATCATAATGTTCTGCATAAACACTTCGGGCCGTCATTCAGTGTCATAACTCAGGAACCGAAGAGGAGACATTTGGTACTGAATTGGTGACCTTAATCTTGGGTGTCCTCCTTGAATCTGATTGTAGAGCATCGTTGTTTTAAGATTTGTAGCTTCTTAACAGGAACTTACATATTTAAAGCACTGTCACTATCAGGGCCACATTTGAGTGTGGACAGACGTTGATGTAAACTGTAACTGCACCTTGACTGGTTTGCAGAGGCATACTGCCACATGGTGGTCATTCTAGTTTGTAACTTTTCTACCAGGACAAAGTGAAGTGTAGCTAAGCAGATGTGGTTTGCCATTGCTCTTACAACATTAGGTCATGTTTTATAAGATCATTGTGTCTTTTATATGTGGAATCTAAATATGTAAAGTACTTACTAACTCCAGCAATCATATTACTGCAGTGGAGTAAAAAGTGGAATATTTGCCTCTGATTACAGGTGAAGTTTAAAATAAAGTTTCTCTAAATAGGATTTAGGTATAGTTTTGGATTAGTTAGTTAAATCCCACCAGTTAACATAAATAACTTTTTAAAAATGTACTTAAGTAATTTTTGACAGCAACATGCTATTTGCTTGAATCAAACCAGTAAGAACAGACTACTATATGACTGACATTTTCTTTTTAATCGTCTTGAAAATGTTTCATCTAGTACACTGGTGTAAAGTTACCTTGTATCTCCTGAATTCTCTTAATTAAACACATGGCTGACATAAATATTAACAACAAAATTGAACAGTAGTATTTGACAGCGCAGTTTTACATGACTGCAGCAGGAACTGGAACAGAGAAAAAGGACAACAGGAGGTTCATTTTAAGAAACAGGAGGAGGAGCAGTCAAATCTGTGGCCCTCAGAACAGAAATCTGCATAAAATAAAGCTTTAGTTAACTTTTTAATCTTAGTACACACTTGAAAATAGCTCCATATTGTTTCTGAATTGTCGTGAAGATCCTCCTTTGTTACTCTCTACTCTACACTGAACATCTTTTTTGTAGCACACCTGTTTCACTCCCTGACTCACTCTATCTTTGTCAGCCAGCCCTGAGTTAACTTCCTGTTCCTCTGTGCATCTTTGTGATCTTTTCTCACAGTAAATCTACTCGCTTGGAGCGTCCCTCAACAATATATAATAGAGAGATCCTATGGTTGCCTTCAAGAAACTCAATCTGCAACAGATATTAAACGTTACAATAAAATATCCTACATAATATCTTTATATCACTGTATATTTATAGTTGGCAAACTACCAGCAGGAATTTCACCATATTGTCCCAAATGTAAAACTCACATAGGCACTAGGTTCCTACTTCTGTCTCTCTGTGGAAGTGTTTGGCCTCTTAGGTTGTGACTCTGGAAAGAATAAGACATCATATCGATGGAAGGAGTCATATTTTTCTGCAGAAATTGAAGAAATCATTGGAATCTCAGGGACTTAAATGTATTCTGCATTTAAAAACTGGAAAAATGTCTCAATTGGGGACATTAGATATGAATCAGATCGATGTCACAAAAAAATGTGGACGGACCTGTAGTTTCCAGTTCTAGGCCTATAACATGTTCTTTTTCCAAGCAAGCTAAGTTCCAGCAAAGTTACTTGTTTCCTGTCTAGCTCTAAAGCTCAGTGGTTCTTCACACAGGTGTTGCAGTTTTTTTTAAACATAATTAAATGCTGTGTTGGGTCTGGACAGTATCAGTATAGTTTTCATATAGGCCTAATGTAGACCACTTCTGTTCGGAGATCCAATAATCCCTGGTGTTTCTGCAACTTCTTGTATCCAAAGTCGTCTCTAGTTCTTTGGGATGGCTCAAAACCAAGAGAAGGGCTGCGAAGTGAAGGATGGATCCACACACAAGGAGAGGGGTAAATAGTGCAACCATGAACAGTGGAGGAGGGAAGACAGAGGAATGTGACACTTAAATGTTTTTTTTTTTTCTCCTAGGCAGTCTTTCGTTGCAGAGGTGGAATTTGTGGCATTCTCTCTGCCTTTGGTCATCAGTTGCTGTCGGCTGTACGCAACGGTAGTGATGATCCCACCTCTGCAGGGGCAGGGTTTCTATTTTCTTGTCACCAGAGATAAATTAAAAACGCTAATAACAATTCTCATTTGGCCCCAAATAAAGAAAGGTCAGAGCCTGTCTGTTGTGCCTGTAGGTATTAAAGCAGAAGGAAACCCCAACAATCTCTTAATGCCAGCGCTTGTCTTTGCATTAGGACATTATTCAACACAGTACATTTGTCTGAGACAGTAAACTTTAATCCTAATTGTAAACCTTTTTCCATAAGTAATCCCCTAAAGATACCCTCCAGACATTTCTTTCATTTAAGTTTTTTTTTTTATTGAGGTTTTTCTATTTTAAGAACATCAACACAAAAAAATAAATAAACACAAACAGCACACACTAAACAAAAACACATCTCTGCAGTGTTCTTAACAGTAATTATTCAAAAGTCCATCAGCACAGCACCAATCCTCATATCATCAGGTGACCTCTTCTACACATCAAGCCTGGAAACAAACAAACAAACAAACAATGGCACATATGACACAAGTCAAAAGAAACCCATTCCCACAATCTGTATGTTACAGTTGTACTTCATTTCAGTTCAGTGACTAGAAAATCTACAGTTATGCAGATTGGCTATCATATAACTTGACTAGTCGAGTTGCGTAGGATGACCCTAGCAGCTGAGGTAAAGCCTGTCAGGGCTAGAGCAAATGTTGGTTTGGAGATCTTGGGTAGACATAGCGTGTCCCCCAAGAGGCACAGTTGAACTAATTCAGGAACAGACACCCTGAGCCAGTCTTGAAAGGTAGAACTAAGGACAGGACCACATTGCGTAGATAAAGGTGCCTTCCTGCCTTTTACATTTTCAGCATAGATTCTCTTCTAGTAAACCTATTATATGGAGACGGACGGCTGTAAAATAATATTGATTAAGTATCTTTTAATGTATAAATTTCCCCCCGAGCTTCTCTTGTAAACCATCCTGCACCAGAGATTATCCTTATCCTCCTTGCCCAAGAGTCCTAATCAATGTTCAGTTCTAAATGTTCACCTCTTAGTTACCATATATTGTGTTAGCAGTTATAAAAGGTGGAAGCTGAATGATTATTTTTAGGTAATTTAAGATAGTGCTGTACCCTGTTATCCCCTCCACACATTTTAAGAATAAAAACCAAAATTTTGTCTTGTTTAAAGTTTCCTTTAAAAAAATCTTCTCACTGCAAACTCCAGAATTCATGAGTATTTAAATATATTGTACATTTCAGATGTTTCCCCTACTAGACATTAGTTGGCCCCTACTTCTCTGTGAAGTAAATTTCAGAGGTTTTCATATTACACTTGAGGAAGTTGCAAACTTGACTATGACTGTCTTACTTGTTGTGGTGTTACAAAATCCTGTTTGAAGTCTTAATATCAGATTTAAGGTAAGAAACTTTCCCCCTTCAGCAGATAAAACAGCCTGCTAGTGTCAAACTCAGCACAATTTATTTTGCATAAAATCTCATTTTGTTTTTCAGAGATTAACTGAGTTTTCCCTCCATTTCTTTACATGTGTTCAGAGAGAGTCCTTGATTAGTAAACCACTATAACCATCATGTTGCATTTAAGAAAGATGAAACTGAGTTTGGATGCCTTTAATATTCATAAAAGATCATTTAGGACATGTGTGGACTGTCAAATTGTGCCTTATGCTTATTTTTTTTTTTATGGTGATTATATAGTTTTTGGTAATATGGGATTAGGCAATCAATTTGAAAAAAAAAAATCTGAGCTGCATCAAATTGTTTTTAATGTTATTATTTTGTAGAGGTATGCTCTTTTATGTCAGGCACAGGATCAATGTTCTTCACACATGCCTAACCTCCCTGTTTGGCTCTAATACATCGTCACAAGCTGTCCAAGTTCTGCAGATCAATACCATCGATCAACCCGATCACCTCCTGGATCAATCGCGTCCTCTGAGGGGAGGGAGGGAGGGTGTGTGGGTGAAAACGGTGCATTCTGGGTGGAAATAAGATGCAGGCACTGTCCGCAAGTGAAAAACGCCGTCACCGGGGTGGAGGCTGTCTTCCAGCCAATCAGAGGGCGGCTGTGCTGTGGAGGGCGGAACTGAGACGCACGCTTCCTTTGCATAAATGAACCAAAAACTGTGCCGCTGCCCGTAACGTGCTACAATAAACTGTTCAACGGAGCCGTTAGACGGTAAGTGATATCTGCAGACATCTGCATATCTGTTTTTACATATCATCGTGTTGAATGTCTATGTAATTGGCTCACTGTCGGCAGGTGAGAGTCCTCTGGTGCCTGCATGCTAAGCTCGCCCTGTGTGTGTCTTGAGAATCTGTGAATGAACCTTCTTATCGTTTTGCATTGGAGTTTGCACATTTGACAACTTGACTTAAATTATAGGTGTAAATTGGGTCTGGGTAAGTCTATGGCAGATGCACGCAGCGCCGAGTCAAAGTTGTAATGCTGTTAAAAAATGAAAGCTGCGTCAACCACATTCTTTATGTCTCATCATGAACCAGGATCCATTGTGTTCACATTATACACAACACACAGCACTTCTTGTATATGTTAGTAAATTAACTTGATTCTTTGGATCAAAGTTTGTGAATGTTTAAAATGTATAGAAAATCACACTTAAAAATCTTTAATGTGAAAGAATTGAATTTAGCACAAATGCATTCAGATGCATGGTTTTTAAGACAAGTATTCCAGTGATGTGAATAATTTGAAGTTTAAATCTATCTTAAATCTCTTAGTGGCTTCAATATGTCTGACCGAGTACATGTACAGGGGTTTGAGGTTTTTCCTGGACGTTATCAAGATGACTTGGTAATCCTACTTCCTGGGGCCTCCTTTCCATTGGATTGGATAGGTGTCAGTGTCATTCACTGTAAAACTTCACCCAAAAGCCCAGTTGTAATGTAAGGCCCAGTCCCTTTTAACAATCCTGTTGTAGCCACATGTTTTAACATTTAAAGGCCTGTCTCAAATAGAGGCCTGGTCTGGTTGCTAAGCAGTTAATTTCTTCATAGAATTTCTTCAGATGCCTAAAACCAAGATGTTGGCCACCTTAAATTATGTATCCACCCTGATTACCTTGTAAGTTATTGATATTCCTTTAGTCTATAATGGTCTCAGATCAAAAGAATCAAAAGGGCTTTTAATAAAACTTAATCCAAGTTATGAGTATTGTTTTGACAGGATGAGGTCGTGCTGTGTCTGCATGCTGGGTGCTGTAATCTGAGTGCCGTAACTATCTCTGCACTGCCTGGCAGAGCTAGATCAAATGAATGATTCATAATTGATATGTTGTTTGAAGTTTAATTTTTACACAAGTAAGATTCTTACTGGTTCAAATAAGTAACTAACTTGTATTTCCCAGTTAAAGGCCTATCCCACGATACAGATGCCAGTCTCAGACATAGGTCCATTGAGTTCAGTGATTTGATCAAATAATAGCCTGGGCAATTAATTGAAGATTTACAGTAACTCTCAGTTGCAAATCATAAATTGTAATTGCAAATAAGCAGACTCATAATTGCAGTTGGTGACTGTTTTCCATAAGCAAATGGCTGCAGCAGTGTTGTAGTCATAGAAGTGAAACAACAAGGCTCACTGTTAACACTAATGACCTGTAACATTTTTTCTCTTGTGCAGACTAAAAGCCAAAATGACTGACAGGAAGGCAGTGATAAAGAATGCAGACATGTCTGAAGAGATGCAGCAGGATGCTGTGGACTGTGCCATGCAGGCTATGGATAAGTACAACATTGAGAAGGATATCGCCGCCTTTGTCAAAAAGGTACATGATATCAATATCAGACGGGTAGTACGAAGGTGTAACTCAGTGGTTCCCAACTGACAGGTCGTGGATCCCTTTGCATTGACTACAAGTAACATGCATACTTGTGTTATTTGTCAAAAAAATACACTTTATTAATTAGTACAGTGAATTTTTGAAGTGCTTTCTGCTGTTGAGTGAGTGACTAATGAACAGCTACTTGACAGAAACAGCAAACTAGTGACATGGCCAAATGCAAGAATGATGCTAAATGTATTAAGTGGAATAATGAGTAAGGAGCAATCTGGACGCTGTGGCTGCACCAGTTGGGGACCACTGATGTAATTCATCAAAACCTGCTGAGTGGCCTCTTATCTATGATCATGCTAATTGTAACCGTTTCCCCTGCAGGAGTTTGACAAGAAGTACAACCCCACATGGCACTGCATAGTCGGGAGGAACTTTGGCAGCTATGTGACGCATGAGACGAAGCATTTCATCTACTTCTATCTGGGCCAAGTGGCCATTCTACTCTTCAAGTCGGGCTGAAATCCAAACATGCCCTCCCAAAACTACTTAAAATTCAGCCCACAATACTTCTGTGCCATGCTGTACATTGGCTACCACCTTTCTGCAGACATGCCTACCTCCTGGTTTCCTGCTTGCGTCAGTCTGTTATTGTTTGCCACCTACAACACTACAACCATCGCTGAATGGCGCTTTAGTCATGCCTGGACTGGTGATGTGCCATTTGTAGAAAATGCCAATTTCAAACTACTCTCCATTCCAGCACTCAGTCAGCATTTTCACATCTGACAGACTCACCATGATGCATAGTTTCTGCGTATTGTTTTTGCTGTGCGTTGATGCACGGGCCTTGTACATTGTTTCATATCGATATGTTGTATAATAACTTATTTTTCATGATATTAAAAAGAGCAACAGACAGTTTTTGTTGAAATGCCTTTACTTTTCAGTGTTGACTGAGATTGAATATAAATTCCAAGACTGTTGCTTACACTTAATAAAGAGAGTTACATGCCAAGAGATTTCAGGTTTTGTACATGCTTGAACATTCCTGTTCCCACTTCAGTTGTGAATCTTTACAATGTTACTGCTGTATATCTCTGGAATGTAATTTAGTGTGCAGTTTGGTATTGTGATATTTTCAACATGTTGAGCACAAAACAACTTTGAAACAGTAAATTGGTTCAAAATGTGTATTGTGTGGATGTGTGCCTTGAATTTGTTGCATTTGCATGTACAAAGATCAAATGTCTTCATATTCTGTTATTGTAAATCACGACGGACACAATTTGTTAGTTGAGGCTACCAACCAGTCAGATTTCCTTCAGCATGTTTTTTTTTTTTTTTTTTTCTCAGATACCCTGCTGCTTTTCCTGCGGGCAAGTTTTGGAAAATGATAGGAGATTAGGAATCAGTTAATAAACAATATTTACCAGACAAAGGGGATATTGGCTATCCTCACTTATCTTTTCCAAGAAGCAAATACAGTCGCAGTAGTCCCTCACAGGCCAGATGTAGGCAGGGGCGTTTCAAGGATTTGAGGACATTTGAAGCAAAACCTAGACCTCTGTTGGAAAGTCTGAGGCATATTCCACTTCACTTTAATCAACAAGATCTTTTATTATGTTTATTGTATAAACAAAAACTATTATGAATTCGAAAATAGTTGGATTGCCATTTGGCATCCCACCATGGGTCATATTTAGCCCACAGGGCATAACTTACTGCTCCTGAATAACAGTCTAGATGCAGGCAGGCAGACATGGTATCAAAGTCTGCTCATGTCTAAAAAAATAAAATTAAGATCTGGTGGAACTCTTTTGAAGCAAAGTATAGTTTCTAAATTTGTTTCATAAACCCACAGCAGGGAAAGTGATGGGGGTAACACTCTGGAAACATAACAGAGGACACTATAATATCAATTTAGGATTTCAAGATAATTATTCTCCCCTAAGTTTAAAATAAATATTATCTGAACTCCTACATTTACCTGACATTCACAGTCAGACATCTTGTGTCTGATCAAAAAGTTCATCCAAACAAGGATGTAAACTACTAATCTGAATAAAAATAAATCAGAATGAGCTCCACTATGACCAGTTAAAACATTAAATGCTACTCACACATTAATGGATCAGTATTTGTTTATTTTTTTATAGACATACAGCATGGATTAATGCCACAGCTTGCTTACAATGCCATCCCTGTGTGCCTTCAGCCAAATACACAAACTCAACAAGACAATTTGTACAAAATAATAAAATACCGCATTAATAGATATTTTAATACGTAATCTAAATATTTACACTTTTATTAAACAAAAGAAAAAATCAACAAAAATGTGTTTTTCCATAGTGATACTGCTTCGTTAAAGATGTGGTAGTTTCTTCACTACACTGTAGGGGGCAGTAATGATCCTGACGTTTAGATGTCAAGCTTGACACGAGGAGCGTGAACCTACAAGCAAGTGAAATACTTCCGAGATCAACAAGATGGCGGCTCAAACTGGGTTGGCACCGGCTTCTGTGAGCCGCAGTGATGTCCCTACCTTTCCTCCGGTGGCTCTGTCCGCGGAGGCCGCCCCGTTCACCCCGCTCGGGACGGACGGCTGGCGGCTCGGCTCACCGTCGGACGTGGAGAAACAGTTTTCCCGCTGCGCCGCGAAGCTCCGAGCCCTGCGGGCAGACTCCGGCCAACTGAGAGAGGAGCTCAACCTGCTGTTTGACCAGCTGCTGTCCGAAAACTACAACAAAACCTTCGACTTTAATATCAACATCCGACCAGAGGTAACTTATTCTGTTTTTGCTCGTATTGCGACGACTGTTACGTTACGTTATTTAGCTTAAAACGCAAACTAATGAAATTAGGTTGTGTGGTAAAAATTCGGGCAACATCAGCCATTTTTGTCCTGAGTGAAAACATCCTAGCAACCATCCAGTATTCCCTAGCAACCGGCCTGTATCACCATCCCACGTCATACACCCAGCAACCATTTTGCATTCTGGCAAAACACCCAACGACCTACCAACAGAGAACATCTGATCAACCCCTCATACTACCACCCCCCTGTTGATGTGTTTTTCCACTGTATATACACTGCTGCATTCTGGGAGGATTTACAGGACTGACTGTCAGCTCAAATCAAACTACCTGCTCCTCTCACAAGAGAAACTATTGTATATGGTTTTAATATAAAGGGCAGTAAGAGTAACCTGATATTGAAAATCCTGACACTGGCAAAATATTTCAACTCACACATCCAAATGGAGGAAATTAAACCCCTTTCTTTGTTTTAAAAAGGACCTTTTGGACAATCACCTCAGTCCTTTAAGACTAATGAAGAAAAAACAAGCAAAGTCTCGTCTCAGAGCTTATGAGGCGACAGAAGCTCAGTCCATGGGGACTCGGGTTGGAAACTGTAGGGTCACCAGTTCCAAATTCCTTGTCCAGAACTAATATGCAGTGTCCTTGGCACTGCTGAGAAGCCCTTGAGCAAGGCACTGAACCCCCAACTGCTAGGGTGCCTGTCCATGGGCAGCCCCCTCACTCTGACGTCCCTCCATATAATGCACGTATAGGTCCTGTTGTGCATGTGTGTGTATTTCGGACCTGTGTGTATATGACAAGAGACAACAATTTCCCCAGAGGGATCAATAAAGTATGTCTTCTTCTTCTTCTTCTTCTTCTTCTGCTTCTGATAGTGATGAACTGAAAATATATGAGGACTCCTCACTAACCATACCCGCTTATCCTGTTAGGGGTCGGGGGGTGCTGAAGCCTATCCCAGTTGACACTGGGGTACAGACTATCGCCCACAGGGCTGACACATGAGACACAGCCGTTCACGCTCACATTCACACCTACAGCCAATTTAAAGTCACCGATTAACCTGCATGTCTTTGGACTGTGGGAGGAAGCCGGAGAACCCGGAGAAAGCCCATGCAGACACTTGGAGAACATGCAAACTCCACACAGAAGGGCCCCCCCACTCTGCGTTCAAACCAGGAGCTCTCTTGCTGTGAGGCGACAATGCTAATCACTGCAACACCATGCCGCCTTTTTCTCCACGCTGTGTTATATCGTCATTTCATATAATTCAATCTTTCTTACTTGTTGTATCTTGTTTCTTAAGAAGTGTTTTTTTGTGGTTATGGATTCTGTGCATTGCTGTTTGTAAATGAACAAAAAAAACCCAAAACATTGTACTTTCTTAGCAACTGCTTAGAACACCCTAGCAACCACTTAGAAACAGCCACCCATAACATCGTAAAACTAGCAGTCACCTTTTGACTTGTTAGCTACCTATCCAGCACCCGCAATGTCCTACCAACAATTTTCCAACATCCCAGCAAAAAAACAAAGTGCAAACACATTTTGCTCTGGGGCCTAAATGTTCTTTAAAAAAATGTTTGCCTTTTCTATTTTATCTCTGCATTAGCATCAACATATGTGGTGTTCAGGATTAATTACTTTGTTGCTGTGAAAGACAGTCTTTGCTGAGCTTCTGAATTTTCCATTTCAGGATGTTTGCACTCTGCTGAAACATGTCAGCTGTCTTGTGCCACTGAGTCAAGAACATCTAGTCATCAAACTCTGCCAGCTAATACATCATCTACTCAATCAGCTCAAGGTAACAAACAGCCTTTAGTAACAGTAGACCTTTAACCTCTAACTGTACACATCTACTCATATACTGACTGTGACTGGGTATGCAATCACCTGAAATGTGCCGCACTTTTTTTCTTTTTTCTTTTTTTCATCTCTTTTTAAGGTAATAATGGACGAGCAGACATTAGACGTATTGGTGAACTATACCGCCAGAGCACTGAAAATGTGCAGTACATGGACACACTCAGATGTCCTTCTGGCACTTTCCACAGTAGTGTACGGGAACGGACCTCAGTGCCAACAGGTAGGTATTTGTACAAGCTCTGTGAATGTGTATTGTAGTGATAACTGTTGAATATTTACACAAAGATTTTTCTCTTTCAAAGCACCTCAGTGACTTACTGGGTGAAGATGGAGTCCTCCTGCTGTATAGCTCTCCATCTCAGCCAAATATGGAGTTACGCCGTGTTGCTCTCACCTGTATGGCCAACATCTGTCTCAGGTACTTTACCATGCTTATATATTTATATATACATAGTGCAGTTATGTCTACTGTTCGCCTGCTTTTTAGACAATGTAAAAACATGGACACGGTGTGTGTGACTTGTTTCTGAAGAGATGTTTTAAAACTTTAAGGTAGGGTTCACCTCTTCAAATGTTGGAGCCAAAATGTATGAAATTGGACAGGGGTGAACCAGGGGAGAAACAAGCAAACCAATCTTAGTCCTTAATGTTTTCTTAGTGTAACAATAACTCTTTAGATTTCCATCTAGATGCACGTTACAAGAAGTGAAATAAGACCATCAGATCCTGTGGGAAAATTGTATTGATGTTGCATTTCGAGAGAGAATTCAAGGATTTTCACCAGTAGGTTTTAAAGGTGGCTGTGCTTTCAGGGATCATTTTTGTAGTTGTTGACTTGAGAAATGTTTTTCTTTTAGGTCCAGTGTGTAGGATTTAGGGGGATATACTGGCAGACGGGATATAATATAATAACCATGTTTTCTTGAGTGTATGATCACATGAAAATAAGAATTGTCGGGGCGTCGGTGGCTTAGTGGTAGAGCAGGCGCCCCATGTACAAAGCTGTTGCCACAACGGCCCGGGTTCAACTCCAGCCTGTGGCCCTTTGCTGCATGTCACTCCCTCTCTCTCTCCCCCTTTCACACTTGTCTGTCCTGTCAAATAAAGGCTAAAAATGCCCCAAAAAATATCTTTATAAAAAAGAAAATAAGAATTGTTGTGTTATCGTTACCTTAGAATGAGACATTTATATCTACATAGGGAGCATAGCCATGTTTCTACTATTGTTTAGAACAGACAAACCAAACAGTGGCTCTAGACAGGGCCATTCGCGTTTTCACATAAGCCACCGTAGTTAGCAGCCCCTCTGCAATGAGCAGTATCGAATAAACACAGATTTTTAAAAATGTAAAACTGCGTTATTCATCGTTAGCAACCCATCCCCACAACATGTTCTCATTCCAACTTGTCAAATACTGCTGCTTTGTCAGTGGACATACCCGTCAGCAGTATTTGACAAGCTTGGCTGTTGCCTGCTGCCTCTAAAGCTGGTAATAACCTTCTGAACAATGAACACTGAAGGAATTCTAACTGCGAGAAGTTTCAGCAGGTTGCGATCTGCAATCCAAACTGCTAGATGCCACTAAATCCCCCTAAATTTTAACACTTGACTTTAAGAGTTTGAAAGGTGGCACTGAAAAGGTTGTGGCTTGGCTGCAGCTGTTTTCACTTTGGATTATAATGAGGGTTATAACTAGGGCATCACAGTAAATAATATCCAGATATTTCAGTTTCAATTATTCAAGTCTGCCATACTAACCTAAATGATGATGGCGATATATCAGTGTTCTTTCAGTTCAGTTATTGCAGGTTTAACTTCTTGTTTCTGGTTGGTTGTATTGTTTCTCTCCAGGATTCCTGGTCAGCCACCGTTGGATGATCAATACAGGAGTGTATCTTTCAGAGTCTTCCTGAAAACACTGCAGTCACCCAAACCTCCCAACACTGATGAGCTCTTTTACTGCATGGTACGGATAATTGGTGTGTTGAAAAGAGAATTTCATTGGGATAGAATACATTTATTCATAGTTGACCCACACCTGTCCATGTGTCCTCTGTGCAGGTGATCCAGGCAGCACTAAAGGGACTTCAGTGTTGTCTCTCAGGAGGGAAGTGGAAATTTGGTGGAGGGGAGGAGCTTGGGTCTGTACTGGCTGCACTAAAGGTACCAAATTGTAGAACATCTGTTGCTTTATCTTTTTTAAATCTCTTTTCCAGCACAAACAAAATGACAGCTATATTATGTTGTAATAATCTGGAGATCTGTACATGTTTTCTGCAGAGGCTCATGTTTCAGGGAGCTCCAGGTGTGAGTGTCGAGTGGCCAGCAGTGCTTTACCCAGCACCTCTTCCTCAATATGAGGGTCTCCCTTCATCGAAACCTGCTGAACCAACAAAACCTGAACCAGCAAAGGACGCAGCTGTGCCAGGCAAAACCTCAGGAGTAAGACAAGTCTTATTTTTTTGTTGATAGAGATTTAAGTAAGGACAGTTTCAAAATCAGTGCTTAATATCTCTCCTTAGAATAAAAAGAGGAAATCAAGAGGAAAGGGGAAGAAGACGAGCACTGAGGAGAGCAGAGGGGATGATGGAGAGGAAGATGATCGAGAGGCAGTGCCTGCATATCAGAAAGGAGGGGGAAGAGATGGAGGCAGAGGTGAAGGAGAATTCATGTCTAAACTCTCTGGCCCATCTCTCTACCCGTCCTGGAAAAGAGCCAGCTCTGACTCTGAGTTTTCAGACCCAGAGGGCAGTGCACAGTGCAAATTAAGGTACAGAAAAACACTGTCCATATCCATCCATCTCACCATCTCTTTTTTGGTTTATTTGGTTTTAGTTTTTACTGGAAATTGAAGATGCCTTTTATTGCTGCAAGCCTAGATGTCTTGAAAAAGCGCTCTGTTATTTTATTCTCGTAATGCTTCATGAACGGGTGAGAAATCATCCTGCATAATTTTTCTTTTAGGCTTTACCACGGTCGTGTGCGTCAGAGAGCACTGCACTGTCTGCTAGCGGTGGTAAAAGGTGTTGAGAAGAGGACTCTGTATGGCTACTGGTCCTCATTCATACCTGACTCCCCTATTGGGGGGCCGCCGCCTCTCACTCTCCTCACAATTATCCTGAAGGACCCCTCACCAAAGGTATGAGACAATCTCACCCATGTTAACCCTCTGAACTTGAATGGCTGTAGCATCCGTCTCCTTCCTCTCCATCCAGGTGCGTGCATGTGCGCTTCAGGTGTTGTCGGCCATGCTGGATGGCTCCCGTCAGTTCCTGGCTGTGGCTGAAGATACAGCGTCTCCTCGTACGTCTTACACCCCTTTCTCCTTCACGCTGGCTACTGCCGTCAGAGAACTGCATCGCGCTCTCAGTCTGGCTCTGCTGGCTGAGACGTCCCCTCAGACGCTCACACAGGTCATAAAGGTACAATTGGATGACCCCTTTACCTTCTGAAACTTTTTCCTCTGGGTTATTGCTATTTTGTTCTCTTCTCCAGTGTCTTAAACATAAAAAAACCTTTTTACAAGAATGATTATGTTGATTCAGATTGTTTTCAACTGCAATGTTAAGAGTGAAGCTTTATTGTACAAAGTTAGCACCCAAACATGAGCTTATCTCCACCTTTCCGGTCTGTTAGTGTCTGGCCTACCTGGTGGCGAATGCTCCCTACCACCGTCTCAGACCTGGTTTGCTCAACTCACTCTGGAAGCAGATGCGTCCCTATGTGCGCCACAGAGGTCTGTATTCCGTCAGTGCATTTAGATAACTGCTCACATTGATTAAAGGGAACATAACACTGTTAATACAGCTGCTCCCTGTCTACAGATGTGAATGTCCGTGTGTCAGTCCTGACACTCTATGGGGCTCTGGTGACGACTCAGGCACCTCTCCCTGAGGTGCAGCTCCTCCTCCGACAGCCAGAGGGCAGCGGCAGCAGCAGTACTGGCTCCTTCACGCCGCAGGATTCGGCTCTCAGCTGGAGACAAAGAGACGGAGTGTCCTCGCCCTCTCGCACACCAGTCAAATCCTCCCTGCACACGCAATCCCCCCAGGTTTCTCACACACCGAGGGAGGAGGACAGCACCCCGCCGTGGCTTCTGCAGCTGTGTGTGTCGCTGGTGACTCAGCCTAGAGAGGACCAATCAGACAGCGAGGGAGCAGGAACAGGAGGGGGCGCTGCTTTAGAGCCCTCTCCTGTCCGACTAGAGGCTCTACAGGTGAGAGATGGTGGATGAGACAGAAAGTGACAAAAGAAAGCCCCAAACTGATATTTCTAAAATCTGAAGATGTTGTTTTTTTAAAGTCTTTCCTGTGCCATGCTTCAGGTCATGTCCCACCTGGTGCGTGGCTACTTCTCTCTAGCCCACGTATCTCTGTGTGAGATTGGGCAGGTGAGTGCGCGCTGCCTTGGGGAGACAGACCCCTCCATACAACTCCACGGAGCAAAGGTAACACCTCCTAGTTTCCAACTCCATCTGTAAAGCCTGATTTATAGTAGGGCGCTTGACACTTGTGAGGAGTGTCCCCCCACAGAAATTATACAACGCGCAAAACACACACAATGTTTTCTTCTTTTGCTTCTTCAAAAAGTTTCAGTCGTCATAATGGTAACCAGATGCTAACCTGTAGTCGGCTTGTTTAGTTACATTTTATCATCCTTTTGCATTTTGATAATGGAGGCAGTTCAGGCAGGGAGCTACAGAGTGAATATGTCCCTGTCCAACAAATGCAGGATATGGATGAGCAAACATACTTACAGTATTTCCAGATGTCTGATCATTTTGACATTTTGATGATCTTGACACCCTTATACGGTGCTTTTACTGCTCTAGCAGATGTGTCAGAGAGGCTTGCCATGACAACCTAATCACATTGTGCAACAGAATGTGACGGTTTTAGCGACATAACAAAATTATCCAGGTGTGCAGCATGAAAGGAAAGGTAACTGGTGTAACTTTTTTCAGTCAAAAATGCATAATTTCTGTCAAGTGACACATATTGAAAGTGTCCAGCACCCAACTGTAAATCAGGCTTAAGTGATTTCCACAAAAGTTGTGGTTTGTGTGTCCCTTGCACTTTTTAGCCTCAGTAGTCCAGATTGTGTAAATGTATTTTGTAAAACCAACATTCATGGGGTCAAGATCTCTGCACTGACGTCTACATCTTCATCTTTTATTCAGTTACTGGAGGAGCTGGGGACAGGAATAATCCAGCAGTACAGAGCAGAAAACAACATACCTGAGAGCTCCAGGGTCCCCATGAACCAAGTAAGTACAAACTGTCTTTAAACTGTATCAAGGTAGACCTGTTTAAATTTGTTACAAGATTTTTTCTGATTTCCTGTTGCTGTTGTACCCTTGGTTTAACATAGTTTCAATGTCACTTTTTAAGAAGGACCAAAGAGATAAGAGAGTTTTAGGTTTAGTTAACTGGGATATATTGATGTGTTTTCACTCCATGAAATAGGTGGTGCTCTTCTGGTCAGAAGTCTTGAGTGGTCCACTGAATGGAGCACTGCAGAACGAACAACACCCCACGCTGCAGACGAGCGCATGCGACACGCTCTCCTCCATTCTGCCGCAGGCCTTCTCACAGCTGCCTGTGAGTTCCCCTTTGATAATTTCTATACAGCTAACACTGAGCTATACGGTCATCAGCTGTAGGTGTAATGTGTGTAATGTTGTTCTTAAGGATAAGACGCAGCTGATGTGCATCACCGTGCTGCTGGGGCTGACCTACAGTGAAAACTATCTGGTGAAAACCGCAGCCGTCAGAGCTCTGGGAGTCTACATACTGTTCCCCTGTCTGAGAGAGGTAGGGACTCTGACCAGCAACTATGAGCATACTGAGCACTGTGAAACATGTTTCTGACCCATGATGATCCGTTTTATCTCTTCCTCTCTGTTCAGGATGTTATGTTTGTGGCAGATACAGCAAACACTATCCTCGCTGCCCTCGAAGATCGATCCCCAAATGTCCGTGCCAAGGCTGCCTGGTCCCTGGGCAACCTCACAGACACACTTATTGTTAATATGTAAGAAAACATGGATAATAAGGATTGTAGTCTGTTCATAGAGATTTTATTTTTGTAATCTCTTTATCCTGTGTCTCTATCAGGGAGAGTGTAGGCGTGGACTTCCAAGAAGAGTTATCAGACATGCTGCTGCTCAAGATGTTGCAGGCAGCCACCCGAGCATCGGCCGACAAAGACAGGGTGAGAGCATTAACTCTTAAATTAAGTTTACACCACATGACTTTCAAAGTCTTCAGATTGCTTTATTGTTCACTACTCAACTTGCTGTTTTGTAATTAGGAATCTTGAAGTAGTAGTACATGACTGACTGGCAACAGGGGGTCACACACTATGAGATCTTTGACCAGGAGGAATCCCAGATGAGTCAGTCATGTGATGCGAACCCCTTGCAAACACACATGCACCACTTGTCTCTGTCCTCAACAAGTGTCTTGCTCTCTTGTTGGCTGTAGCATGCTGTCAAAGTCCCCAACAGGTTCAGATATGTAGCATACCGGGGAGTGTCCACATTGCATCGGCGAACCTCTCAGCGTGCGTCTTTGAACAGTTTACACATACCGCTTGAGCGCCAATTTGTGAGGTTTGAGCCAGCACCAATTTGCCTCTGATCTGGGGCTTTGATCCACGAGTTTCAAAAACTGTCGACGAACAGATAATCAGGGTGTAGTCATGTAGTGTGAACTAGGCATTACACACAGGAGCAAAATTCAGATTTGTTAGGTTTTGCCACATTTTGTTCTGCTATGTAAGTTGTTAAAAAATGGCTGCAACTGAAACTGAAACGACTGAATCTGTGAGAATGTTAATAGACGTAATTATGTAAAGTTATGCCAGCTTGCTTGGTATAACCTCATCAGTATGACTGACTGTGTTTTGATATCCTACTCATCAATATCTGCCCCTGTGAAGACACTATTTTCTAGTTTTCTTTTTGACTGTCTCCCACTTCTCTGAACTCTCCAGGTGAAGTGTAATGCGGTGCGAGCACTTGGAAATCTGCTTCATTTCCTGCGTCAGAGCCAGCTGACCCGCTCTGCGTTCCAACGTCCGCTGGAAGAGGCAGTACATGCTCTGGTTAAAACCGTCCAGTCAGAGGCCACTATGAAGGTCAGGTGGAATGCCTGTTACGCCTTGGGAAATGCTTTCAGAAATCCAGCCCTGCCGCTCGGTAAGTGTTCATTCATTCACCTGTGTTTGCCCTCACTATGACATGGTCAATGTGGGTCATCAGATCAGACTGTGAACATACTTACAATAGAGAGATTTATAGAAGATCTTTTGGGAACTATATCAAGCAGCTGGTTGAGAGTTTTGTCAATATTTGGTATCTTTCACATGGTTTTGTTTGTTGAGATGGTGTAAATTGTACCCAACAGTGATGGATCTGAATTTAAGTTTTTGTATTAATGATTTCTGTCTCTTCCTTCCTCTCAGACTCAGCCTCGTGGTCCTGTGATGCCTTCTCCTCCCTCTGCCATGTTGTCACTTCCTGCAAGAACTTCAAGGTGCGGATCAAGTCTGCTGCTGCTCTGGCAGTTCCTACCAACCGCGCCTGCTACGGGGACACAGAGCGCTTCAGCTGTGTGTGGCGATCCCTGGCTGCAGCGCTCGAGAACAGCGAAGACACAAATGACTTCTTAGAGTACCGCTACAGTGCCAGCCTGCGACACACGCTCTCACAAGCTCTCCTACACCTGCTCAGCGTCAGCCAGTCTCAGGACATGCTTGCCTTGGGGGCATCACTGGCTGGGGAGGAGGGTGGGGGCATCAAAGAGCATTTGATTAAATATCTCAGAGCAGAGGAAGGAGGAGGAGAGGGGGCGGAGGGAGAGAAAGATGCAGGAGGGGACAGTTTCACCCCTCAGCAGAGAGTCGGAGGTCTGCAACAGACCCTGATCAGACTGAAGGAGTTGAAGGCTGAAGGAGAGAGATGGAGAGAGGAGGAGAGCGGTAAAGAGGTGGTGGTTTATTTCCTGGAGGATTTGTTAAAGACCTGTGAGGAGCAGTGAAGACTCCCATTACCAGCTGTAGCGCTGGGTTTCAGTTAGAAAACTAGCTGAGATCAAGAAGACGGCGCTCTCAAGTTGGGCAAATATCCAAGCAGCTGTAAGCAGCTTTGTCATAATGTGATTGTAGGACATCACAAGGAACCACAAGACTGTCTTAAAAAAAGGCCACTTTTTTTCTTATGTACATTTCAAGACATTTTGAAGGTCACAGTGGCTTTTATTTCCTTTTATTCATCTATTTGCACTTGCACTCTTATGGATTAACATCTGACGTACAAAGACATGCCATGTAATCATGTTTTGAGAACAAAATAATTTAAGTGATGAAAATATTGTGTTGTTGTTTAACAAAATTTTGTTGCCCAAGTTAATTAAGATGATTTTTTAAATTGTTTTGATGTAAAGAGAATTTTGTCTGAACATGTCTGATTGCATTGAACATCAATTTGATTATTCTTTCCTTGGTGTTGTAATTTACATACATCTGCCATAATGAGATATTTATCGATATATGAAAACTACTATTTCACAGCAATAAATCAGATTGTGAAGTCCACTGCATTGTATGTGTGAACACAGCAATGATGCTGACTGGACACATGAAACAGCTAGGAAGATGTTATCCATATTGAACATGATTTAAATGCAGTACAAAAGTGTTATGTTTTGTTCAGTGTATAATATGTAATAATAATAAATATTTTCAGTTATATTCACACTTAAATCATCAAGCTTTAGTGTTTTATTTGGCAGAAATGATTGCCATTGATTGATTTTACAACATGATGACGCAGCCAGCAGGAGGCAGCAGAGTGCAGACCGGAGGGGAGGAGCTGCCGGTGGATGATCCGGTGGTTGATTAGTGATGCCTGGGTGCTGACAGACCACGCTGCTGCAGGAATGGACGCCTTCGAGTTGTTTCGGAAACTCGGAGCCGGAGCTAAATTTGACCTGAAGAGGTTTGGTCAAGACGCTGCTCGGTTTAAGGTAAAGTGAATAGGTGTAGCTGGTGATACACTGCCTTAAAAGAGAGACTGATAACCGCACGAGCCCCGGTTTCATATAGTTTGGCTAGCAACGAGTTGAAGTGTGTCGTAGTGTTTGTTTTTCGGACATGTTTTGACATTTTAGTGAGATTGAATGCTTTAATTTCGTTTTTAATTTGATAAGTGATGAGGTACAAGTGTAATATTCTCTGACAGTGACTGTACTCGTGTTGTATTTCACAGGTTGCCAGGTCTCACGGTGGGGAAGCGTCCACAGATGCTCTCTCTGCGATCGATTATTTTGGCACAGGAGCAAATAATGGATCCCAGAGCAGTTCACAGGAGGAAGAGGAGGAGGATGAAGGAGAGGATTATGAGGTGGGACGTGACAGTGGAGATTCAGGTGCAGAAGGCAAAAGGAAGCAGAGGGATGAAGAGAGGGACGTGAAGAGAAAAAAGAAGAAGATGAAAAGCAACCAGGTGGAAGGTAAAGCATGTGGCTGTGTGCTGCTGAACACATCAGACATTACAAACTGATCAGCAGCTGACCGTAGATATTGTTAGGATTATTTAAAGTTTCTATATATTTTTTATATGTATGACCTGTTTGTATTAATCATTACTCAATCAGCATTTGCAGATTTAGTCTGTTATACCATTGTGATTTGATTATTGTCAGGTTTTATTATTATATTTTTATTATACTTAAATTTATTAAACTAGTATTTAAGACACTGCCTTAGGCTCAGAGAGCTTGTGATTGGTATTTCTTTACTTACAAGAAAAACAGATTTTATACTTACTCATTCAGGATAAATCTAAAAATAATTGATAGATCAATCAATAATAAAAATGATAATTAGTTGCAGCTCTAGTGTGATAGGCCAATTTAAATCAAACATTTAGTGATGGAGAGATGAAAATAAAAGTTAAGCAGCCAACTTTATGTTATTAATATTGTATTGAACTGTTTTCTTATATAAACAGGGTCACTATTGGTCAACAAATCAAACAACTTGGGACACCCAGCAGCTCAGCGGGTGCAGGTGTCCCACGTATAAAGGCAGTGTCCTTGCCGCAGAGGCTGCAGGTTTGATTGCAACCCATGATCCTTCGCTGCATGTCATTCCCCCCTAACGACTCCTATAAACAATATAAAAATAAAAAATAGATGGATTAATCTAAAATAAAAGGTCCACGCACATACAAATTAAATCTATATTCCTACATTGATATGCACCATAATATAATCTAATTTCCAAACAGCTAATTAATTTTCAGACACATAAGGAGTGTGTATGCCTGTATTACGCACATGGTGAGCGATTTACTTAAAGATCTGTTCACATTAGCGATGTACTCTCAGTAGTCTCCGCATTTCGCCACATATATCTCAGTCCTGTCCTTACAGCTGAAGGAGATTTGTTTGTGTGATACAACTTTTGCCAATTCTGCGAACCTTTCCTGAAAGAGGGCTCACCTGGTTTCCTCCAGTTTCTCTTTGCTGCTGAACATTGTTAAAATGACTCCAGTCAATTTGTATCTGTTATATGTGGAAAAAAGTCACTTGTCTGGCTGTATGAAAGTGATATTGTATTTCTGGATATGGGTTATACGATGATGACGATGATATAAATTTGTCTGTAAGAGACATTATATGCTGTATATACAGACGTAGCTGTGACATCTCCGTGCCTATCAGTCTGTTGTTTGCAATGTTGCAAATCAATGAGCAGGACTGCTTTATAACAGTAATAGATTTGTTCCTCTCTTTCTATTTTGTCCATAAACAGTTTCTCAAATAACACACTAGATCCAAATATATTATCACACTAATACAAAGTGACATATACTGTGATATTATCCACTTCATCCAGTCCCACATGGCTCTTTGGAATGTGTTTAAAATGTAAATTCCACATCACAACAGTGGTTTGTGGTGCCATTTTAAATGAACAGGATGTAGCGCTTAATGTCAGAGACTCACTGCTGTTTACTGTCTTCTGTCTCATTGAAGCTGATGGCGGAGCGCTGAAAGACACGGAGGGAAATGGCATCACCTGGACCTCCTCGCTGGACAGAAAGATCCAAAACCTGTCAGGTGACGGGAAGGAGAAATCCTCGCTGAAGAGGCTGAAGCATCTTCACCAGGAAAAGGTCCTCATACAGAGACAACTCGATGAAGAGATTCTATATGATTCTGACAAATACTAATCTGACTTTGAGTTCTGTAACGTCCTTTTCTCTGTATTTGATTTTAGGTGAATCGTATTCGCTCTCAACACCGTATAAACGTACACGGCTGCGACGTGCCTGACCCTGTGTGCACGTTTGAAGAGCTACAGTCCGAATATTGTCTAAACCCGCATGTCCTTCAGAACCTCAAAGATGCAGGGCTGAACTCCCCTACACCCATACAGATGCAGGCGATACCGCTCATGATGCATGTGAGTGCAGACACACACATTCAGTGGCTGGTAAATAACGTAGAGACGTTATGTGATGATTTCTGTGTGTCTGGTTTCTTGCCCAGAGTCGGGAGCTGCTGGCCTGTGCTCCCACGGGATCAGGAAAGACTTTGGCTTTTTGTCTTCCGCTGCTCGCCCACCTACAGCAACCGGCCAACCTGGGCTTCAGAGCTGTGGTCATCTCTCCGACCAGAGAACTGGCCAACCAGGTACACAAACACACTCAATGGCTGTTTTTATTGTAACAAGAAGTTGACCTGAAAACATGACTGTCCAGGTTTTATTGAATACATTTAGAGTTTCAGCTGTTGCTAAAGTTGTTTTGTGAAATGATCACACACATTTGCACGTATCACTTTTGTTGTTCTGTGTTTAGACCTACAGAGAGCTGCTCCGCCTGTCAGAGGGAGTGGGATTTAGAGTTCACATCATAGACAAAGCCTCTCTGGCAGCCAAGAAATATGGACCACAGTCAAACAAAAAATATGGTAAGAAAAATGTTTTCACAGAAGAGACAAAATATGAGATATGAACTGGCTTTACCTCACCTCACTGTTTACCTGCTGCGCTCCTGTACAGATATACTCGTCAGTACTCCAAACAGACTCATCTTCCTTCTCAAGCAGGATCCTCCAGGTCTCGACCTCAGCAGGTAACTCTGAATTTGTTGCTCCCTGAAATTTTTCTTAAAGGTGCCCCATGAAAGTTTATTGCAAACTAGCAAAAGTTATGTATACACTATGTTTATATGCACACTAATATTCCACTGTTATTCCGAATATGACAATGCTCGGAATTTGATGTAAATGTCATGTCATGTAAACAGCGTATTCTGTTTGTATGTCCCAAATTAAACCCTTTTGAGACATGGAAAATACTGGTATTATCCTTGTTTTAATAGCACTCTTTGAACATGCAAACATACATTCGTAATATGTGTCTCAGCTGGGGTTTTTGCCGCTGTTACCACCACAAAGTTAACTAACCATACAACCACAACTTTGATTCTAATGGGGGACCTTTTGTTGTGTGTCTTACCCGTCACTCCCGTCTCATTTCCTGTCTCTGTCTCCACTGTCAACTGTCAAAAAAAAAATCTTGAATAAAATGGGAGCTTGATTGTTGTGTTTTGTTGGTGTTCAGCGTGGAGTGGCTGGTCGTCGACGAGTCCGATAAGCTGTTCGAGGCCGGCAAGACGGGCTTCAGGGAGCAGCTCGCCACGATTTTTCTGGCCTGCTCCGGTTCAAAAGTGCGCAGGGCTTTCTTCAGCGCCACCTGCACGCCAGATGTAGAGCAGTGGTGCCGTCTGAACCTCGATAACCTGGTGTCTGTCAACATTGGACACAGGTAATGATCTACATGTAGAACTCCTTACTTTGATTGAGTTGTAAAATCTGATTCTCACTTTAGAAAAATGAATTTATCATCTCAGAAACACGGCGGTTGAGACGGTGGAACAGGAGCTGCTGTTTGTTGGGACGGAGAACGGCAAACTGGTGGCCATGAGGGACATCATCAAAAAAGTAAGGACACTCCAGAAATGTTACTGTTCAAGCTTGTGATGAATTCATGTTTCATGAATTAATTAATACAAACTCTATTTCTTTACCACCTAAGATGATTAAATGAGAGGATTTCCTCTTTGCTATTTTCAGGGTTTCCTTCCTCCCATGCTGGTGTTTGTGCAGTCTATAGACCGAGCACGGGAGCTTTTCCATGAGTTGGTATATGAAGGCATCAATGTGGATGTGATCCATGCCGACCGCACACAGCAGCAGGTACGTTCAGACACGTAATGCACTGTATCAAAAGTCCTGTATTTGTCACTGAAGTGCAAACTTGTACTCATGCTCCGTGGCTTCTCTGTTTCAGAGGGACAACGTGGTGAACAGTTTTCGCTCCGGTAAGATTTGGGTGTTGATCTGCACGGCTCTGCTCGCCAGAGGAATCGACTTCAAAGGAGTCAACCTCGTGCTGAACTACGACTTCCCCGCCAGCGCTGTGGAGTACATCCACCGGATTGGTTAGTTTGTATTTATAATCAGTCGTTTCACAATAAGATCATCCTGTATCAGGGATGATTAATCGATTTAAGGTACACTATGGAGGATTGTCAGTTACTGTTTCTAAACATGCTCAGCAGGCAACCCTAGATTCACTCTCATTTGGCATTTCGCCTCGCTATATTTGTGTTTTTTCTTCGCTGGGTCTCTTGGATGTCTGCTGCTTACTGTCTGGCACTGAGTGCTATGATGGTACACACCCATAAACATCCTGAGTACAGAAAATAAATGAATAAATACAGGCAGAGAAAAGAGTCTCTGCTGGAAAATACATCACCACACACCTCTTGTAGGTCATAAGTGATGATTGAGAAGGATTACCTCTGTACAAGTCTATACATGTTTTTTTAGGAAAATCCTGCATAGTTATATCTTTCATAACAACAAAAATGTCAATTATATGTATCGATTGATGTATTTCTCCTCTGTCTCTTCTTGTCTGCTCATTGGTTTCCTCATATATCATTCTTTTTGCTGCTCCTCAGGTCGGACAGGTAGAGCTGGACATCAGGGGAAGGCCATCACCTTCTTCACAGAAAATGATAAGCCCCTGCTGCGCAGGTACATGGATGCAAAAAGTGCAAACTGACGTCCTTTGCTGTGAAACACGTACAGCTTGTTTTTGCGTTTGACTCTGGAAAATTAGTTTAAATCAAAGTTTGATAACACAGCAAATTTCAGGTGAGGCAGACAGGTCATCAAATGTTATGTTTGATGGTAACTAGCACGAGGCCAAACATGACGTCACTGCTATGAGTTAAATGTCTATGACTGTAAGCTTTCAGGGCCTTATAAGCTAACGGTAGGTAGTGTTATCTCCCTCACGGTGTCGGCCAAGTAGCTGAAAGCAAAGAACACAAATGGAGGCAGGACACTTAGTATTGCAAGCTTCCAAAATTTTCTACAATCTACATATTTCTCTGAATCTCTTTCTCTCTGCATCTGTTTCCAACAGCATCGCCAATGTCATAAAACAAGCTGGCTGCCCTGTACCCGACTACATGATTGGCTTCAAGAAGATACACAGGTAAAGGAGATATATTCCACAATAATGAATATATTAAAACACATTTTTGCTTTTATTTCTTGCTTTAACTGATCAGTCTCATTTTTGTAATATGACAGTAAGAGTCCATCTGTATTTGTCTGTTTGTAGCAAAGTGAAGCGGAGACTTGAGAAGAAACCTCCCAAGAGAAGCACCATTTGCACGACTCCTCGCTTCTTAATGAAGAAGAAAGGCAACGCACCAAATAAAGGACAGAAAGAAAAGAAGCAGAAAGGAGAAGGTGGAACTCAAACAGCAGTGCAGCGGCAGAAAAAGGAAAAGAAGCCCAAAGGACAGGGGCTGAAGAACAAAAATAAAACACAGACAGAAGGGGGAGGAGAAAAGCACAAGAAGACATCTCAGAAGATGGGGTCAGATTCTTCTGGAGCCAAATTAAAAAAGTAAGTATTATTAGTATTATTGCTAATATACATCATTGTCTAACGATCTGTTTAATGCCATAACTGACATTTAATCTGACCGTGTGCTTCAGAAATATGACATGACAAAATGCTCTTTTCTTTGTTCGTTAACTTTGTCCACCAGAAAAAAGGGGAAGAAAAATACACAAGACAAACAAAGATGAGTGGAACAAGCAGACTGATTCAGAGATGGATGTGGATGTTTTGTTTTTTTTTTTGTATTTTATTTGACTGATCTACTGCCAATTTTCACATTTGTGCTTTGTAATATCAGAGTATAAAATAAACAGGTTTACACATTTTTGTGTTATTGTGTTTCTTAATCAGTTACAATTGCTCACTTGTAACTTGTGACATTGATTTAATATTTAACATTCTGAAAGTTTTAAACTATTTGTAACATAAATGAAACTGCAATTAAAGGCAATTGTGAGAGAGATGGGAAAACAATATAATATACATTCATTACTTGACATCAGAATTTTACCCTTGACACAGCTCACTGAACCTGATCAGAAAAATATTCAGACTATTGAACAGATAAATTGTACTTCATGTGATGGCTTAATGGAAAGAAAATTGGATGATTTTGCATCTTAGAGATACTTTTTATACCTACAGTATATATAATTAAGAAAATACTTTCAAAAATAAATTATATTAGCAATAAAAAGTGCCAATCTGAAGTAAAGAAAGCTGACTGGTTGTAAGAGTTGCTTCAGAGCGGCAATTTTTAATGAAACAAGCAAATAAAAAATCAAAGCAACACAACATGGGAATATACAGTGACATATTCAACAAATAAAACAATCATACGCTTTCACAGCCTTCTTGTTTTAACATAACCAAGTATGGTGCTGTATTCAAGGTTCAAGGTTCTTCATTGTCAAATGAACAATTACGAGGGCAGACGTTGCCATTGAAATACTAGAGTCACAGGCTCCCTCCAACAATGCAATTTAAGTATGTATGTTAAAAAAAGGTAAGAAAATCACACAAGTAGAAGAAAAAGATGCATGAATATAAGGATATTGTAAGTTATAATAAAAGGTAAAATATAATAAAACATGACAGGTGAAATAAATCAGTAGCATGAGTAGGCCTACGCAGAATATAACAGGAATGTGCTGTGGTAAAATGCTTAGCAAGACTATAAATAAACGTACAGAGGTGCAAACTGTTTAGTTTAAAGAAAGGTAAAGTGACCAGAGTGAGTGAGTGAGTCAGTGATGAGTAATATTCAAATAGCTTTTGGGAAAACAAAAGATTATCACTCCAACGTTGACTGATTAACAGTGGGGTTAACAAATAGTTTATATGTTAATCTATAATCTTCTGGGGTAAGATGAAAGACACTTATTTCGGTTAAGAATTATCTGTTTGGTGAGTTTGTGCACATTGGGAGTTATAGGCTCTGACTGTTGCTGAGCGTTAAAAGATGTAAAAGTTGACACAAAAGGGGAAATCCTTTTACTTTTATGGCATTAATGTAAAATTAACTTATGATTATGACGTTTATTATTATTATTATTATTATCATTCTTACAAATACACATGGTAATGTTCGTCTGGATTCAGTTCCATTTCCTTAGCTATCGCGATACATCTGCAGCGAGATCTCGCCCATGCATTATACTGCAGGAAACCCCGTTCAGCCTTCCTTTCTCAACATGGCACCGAAGGTGAAGAAGGAAGGTTTGTCAACCTTATGATTTTAAATGAATAATTCTTAATAATTACACCAGTATAGCACCTAAGGTTCATTAGACGCGCCCTAAATATGTGGATAAACCGACAGTGGTTTAAATTTCCTCACCATATCGCTGTCAACTACTTAAATATGTAGTTAACGCAGCCCGTCTCTCCGGCATGTATCCCGGAGCATGATGCTAGGCTAATATTAGCATGTTAGCGTTGACGCTGTTTATTGGACGTTGTGTATTTATCAGCTAATGTTAGTGTTCTGTACTGATTACATCATACAGTCTTTTATAGAAGTATATTGTCAGTGGTTTAAATATCCTCACCATATTGGTGGCAACTACCTGTATATGCAGATAACGCAGCCTGTCTCTCCGGCATGTATCTCAGAACGTGATGCTAAGCTAAACTTAGCATTTTAGCGTTGACGCTGCCCACTGAACGCTGTCTATTTATAATCTAACGATGTTATTCTGCCCTAATATCTTCATACAGTATTATAGATATGTCTTGGCTAGTTAACGTCAAACGGTATTGTGTAACAGGTTCGTGGATTAGCTGTTGATATGATGTTAGCACATGCGGCAACTTGGCGGTGTTTGAAATGTTTCAGTACGCTAGTTACACGTGATAGTTTAAGTTACTGTTTCTTAGAAGAAAGCTACATGCAGTGTGTAAAACTTTGGCTATTTGGGTGAGTTAGTTGAACATATCAGTGGTTATAATATGTAAAGTAGTGAGTTGAAACTGTCAGCATTTATATGGAAACTGATGTGTATACATTTGTCGCTATTTAACTTTAAAACACCTAATTCTGGAAAATGTGCTTTAGTGATATGTTCACACAATTTATTTATTGTGATTTAGACAGGTCTGCTTTATCTGATATACAGACGTGAATATTGTTGTACTGTCTCAGCTTGTCAGTGCAAATAAAGCTCTTCCTGATGACACTTTGTAAAGGGAGTAGCAAACTCGGGTCAGCTATAAATCTCATCTAAGGACTCAGTTTAGTTTTGAGTTAATTATAACAACATGGCATGATGGTGCTGTTTTCAGCATTTATCAAAATGTCTTGTAGCTCATTACCAAATTTCAAATTGGAGGAGCATGAACAAGCTGACCTGCAGTTGTTTTGTAGTTGGCATTATTAGTTATTTAGTTTCTGGGTGCTTGGATCGTCTTAGGTTTGTAGGTTGCAAATGTACCGGCATAATACATGCACCTTTTTCCTCATAAATCTAGACATCATGTTAGTAGTCATATTTTAAATACATTTGCTTTTATGCCTGGGCCCCTATTCTTAAGCTTTAAATAACGTATTGGGGTGTCCCATTGCACATCTTCATTTAGTCTCATGAATTGTACTTGTGTTATTTAACTCTTGTTTTTTTTTTGTTTGTGAATAAATTTAACTGGTGTTTTTTTTCTCTGTTTAAGCTGTCCCTGCCAAGACTGAGGCCAAGTCAAAGGCTCTCAAGGCCAAGAAGGCTGTGCTCAAGGGCGTACACAGCCAGAGGAAGAAGAAGATGAGGACTTCTCCCACCTTCCGTCGCCCTAAAACCCTCCGTCTCCGCAGACAGCCCAAGTATCCTCGCAAGAGTGCTCCTCGCAGGAACAAGTGAGTGACAGTCAATGAGTGCATGCTGCTGAAAAATACAGATGAAACCTGGTGCACATGATGGTTTAAGCGATCAAAGTATGAAAAAGCATGATTCCAGCTTTATACATTGCTGATGCACCAAAGTAAAACAAGTCATTACATGAGAACAAGCAAAGGCGTGTATGCTATGTTGTGTTCGTGTAAATATTAACAGGCCTGTTTCATAGACCGTGGACCAGAAAATGTGATGGCTTTTGTTTTTTTGGCCTAATACATATTTTTTTTCCTGTAGGTTGGATCACTATGCCATCATCAAGTTCCCCTTGACAACAGAGTCCGCCATGAAGAAGATTGAGGACAACAACACACTTGTGTTCATCGTGGACGTCAAGGCAAACAAACACCAGATTAAACACGCTGTCAAGAAGTTGTATGACATTGACGTCGCCAAAGTCAACACACTTATCAGGTAAAATCTTAATCCAGGCTGAGCTGAATGCCAGCTTCATGTTATCTTGTTGGAAACTTAACTACTGGACTGATGACACTAGGGTGCAATCCTGTGGCCAATGGTATATCAGCTCACTGTAATCACATGTGTTTAGAGTTTGTTGGGCTCAGGAATGAACAGTCTTAGTGGGTGATTGCAGAATTTAAGGCATTAATTTGAACCAACATTTGAGATTAGAATATTGGTTCAAAGTCTGGTCAACATAGGTCCTCAATCATCTTGTCTTCCATTGTAAATATAAATGTGATATCATAGTTTAATCACCGTCATTCATTGCTTCACCTCACATGCCTGTTCTGTTCTAACCCGTGTACAGGCCTGATGGTGAGAAGAAGGCGTACGTTCGTCTTGCACCAGATTATGATGCGTTGGATGTTGCAAACAAGGTGAGTCTTTGATCATTCAGCAGGGTAAAGGGGAATAATGGGTCTCAAAAGCAAGTTCACTTTAGCATGATTGGTGTATTTGCTTTCTGAAGTTGTCAGTCCTGTGCAAGTGATGTAAACTTTTACAAGTCTGAATGTTTGTGATGCATTCAAAGGAACCACTGATGCCAGATAGAGTGAATACATCTGTATCTGCACTGTCAGTGAACATTGTTTAAATCATGTCCTTTTCTCCTCTACAGATTGGCATCATCTAAACTGTGGCTGAAGAGACTTGTGGAAGAATAAATATTTGTATAAACTACAACTGATTACGTGTCGGTGTGTTTGTGAGTTGTCTTCACACACAAGTACATACAGCAAATGAGGTTTTACACTTAACACCACTGCCTGAGTTAATTAGAATAAACATGAGAGACTTGTTGGCTGTGTTGAATTCATAGCTAGCTTTATTACTAAATAGAGCAGGCAGCTTGTTAGTTACATCTTGCAGTTAATGTGTGCAACTTTCTTCAAGAACCCTTTGATTATTAATGTAATGTTAATTAAGAGGAGTGTTTGTCAGCAGTGTCTGAAAGCATTGATTTCTCCAAACAGTGCCACCTTGTGCTGTTTTTTTTTTTTTTTTTTTTTTTTTTTTGGCCAGACATCAGGACTAATTCAGACATTTAACTTGTCTTGATCAGTCAGTGTATTGGAGTGTTACAAAACTGAGTTTTTTTTTTTAGAAACCATCTTCATAAAGCTTTTTAACTGCCTCCCTGTTGGATTGTTAAATGCTGGATACTGTTTGATCTAAGTCTTGTTTCTAGAGGGCAGGGGATTTAAATACTGTAAGCATGGATTTGGTCAGTTTGGCTTCTGAATGTGTTACTGACAAACGGAAGCATATTTTTCTGTCATGAGTGTTGGTCACAAGTGACTATCTTTTGTACTGACCATCACATTTTGATGGTCTGGTGACCTACAGAGAGAAAGTAGGAAGTTCAGCATGCCATCAAACTTATACTAATCTTCATTGGTGACATTGTGAAATGTTATCCATGGATAAATACTGAAACAATCTAATTGATAAAACAAACTTCCATGACTTTTCCAAAGCTTTCAGTGATTTTTACTAATTCCTTGACTTCTCCAGGCCTGAAAATGTGACTGGGAAGACTTTTCCAGGTTTTCCATGACCATGGGAACCCTGTAATATGTAACTGAAACATTACACTTAGTGAAAACACATGCTTTGAGTGGCAGATTTGGAGCACATGTTGGTGTCAACTTCCAAGTTTATTAATGCTGTTTCTACATTCATTGAATAAATCACAGCAAGTGCAGACCACTTAACTGACAGTTGTCACTGGTGTGAAAGCTTGAGGAAAATGCTGGGTTAGTATCTCGTGTTTACAACAGAATTCTATCCTTGTTAGGTTAAAAATCTAAAATACAATAGCTGCAGTTACACTGGAGATGTAGCATACACAGTAATAAATGTCAGTTCACTTTGATATTTGGGTAGTATCATTACTGTTTCATACAGATCATGAGAATATGCCTTACATTATCCGTTGTCCTTGGTGAAGTGGTTACAGGGTGATTAGAATTTTTTTACAGTTAATTATCAAGACAGTTGTTCACACAGATGTTGATGTAACTTGGCTATTTGGGGGGGGGGGGGTAGTCAGCACTGGGTGTACTCGTGACCGCTGTTAAGTACACTTGCTTCATTTGAACTTTTCCCTCACTATACTGATGACAACAGTATTACAAAACATGCATCAGCACCTTGGGTCACCATCAGACCACAGCAGCTTATGTAGCTGCTCCACTAATCATGAGGTACAGTAGCTGTTGCCATTGCTCAACACACTTGAGTCTGGAGACATTTAGACCTTTATCAAACTGACATTTACTGCAGGGCTGCTGTTACTACTTGTGTTAGCATAGTAGAATCATGTTTATCAGAACAATTAACAAGTTCAGTTTTACATACATTAAGTTTATTGTAATAACAGAACACAGGTCAATGCACTGATCAGATTATTTTTCAAACATTTTCCTATGTTGTGGTATTAAGCAATAATGTGGAAATATACCCATTAATAGCCTTGATTAATATTAAGAGTATTACTTAGTGTATTCTTACATCTGTCATAAAGTTCCATTGTTCAGTGATATGTAACTATTTAGATAAATGTAGAAAAAGGATTAACATGGTAAGATATATCACAGGCACAAAAGAAAAGATGAACCACCTTCCTGCTTTAATCAATAAATATAAGTTTATATGGTATTGCTTACATTCATTTAATCACATCACTGTGACACATGAGACTGCTGGTTATGAGAGGAAGGTTCGGACCGTGCCTTTAACCAGGCCTCTGCAGATTGGGCACTTGCGCAGTGATGGCGCGCACTCTTTGCACACTACCAGGTGTCCACATGGGATGAAGACGATGTTGACCTCTTTGTCCATACACACTTTGCAGGTTCGCTCCTCCTGCAGGCGCCGCAGCTGCTCCTCCATGGGCAGGTCTGCAAGGAAATAGATGTTTTCTTATTTTAAAATCCAACATGCTGGTTTACATTCCTGCTCGTCTTATTTACAGTCATTCTTTAGACGACCCACAGTTTTAAAAACAGGTTACATCACAGGTTCATCTCTATATTAAAATGCTCCACACAGTACTGATGGCTGTACCTCCAGTTCACGCAGAAAATACTGTATTACACATTTGACAAAAACATGTATATTGTTTCATGTTACATTTAGGAATTTCGCATCATAATATTAAATAAAGATTGACAATTAAAATAGAAGTTATAGAGAGCTTCAGAATTAAACAATTAAGCACCAAACATAAAACTGAGTGTGTCTTAATACCTGAAAGGTCTTGACTCGGTGATGCAGCTTCATTTGATTGGGCTGAAAATTTGAAAGACAACATGTAGTTAGCTCAGGCCTTATTCATTGCAAACAAACATACTCTAAATATATAATATGCACCCTTAAGGGCTATCTTAATGCTTTATTGGGGTTTTTATGGACAGAACAGCGTCATGCTTTGTGCTGTGGATGTGGCCTGGACTGAAGTAAAACCATTAAGCCACAGTTTGAACACTGTATTAGTGGTTTCAAGTTTGTTTTGTCCAGGTTGATGGTTTGTGTTCCCAGAGTTGATCCACATACACACTGAATCCTTAGTAGCCAGATATTCATCATCAAAGGCCTTTTGTCAAGCTTGAGCTCATACTGTGTGTTCTTTCTGTGACATGGTGGGAAAGTCTTACCCATGAGATCTCTGAGCAGGTGCACGTCATTTTTCTGGATCCAGTTGCGGAAGACCTCGGCTGCTGCGTTTCCCTTGGTGAGGACGAGCTCTATCAGCCTGGCGGTTTGCTGCTGAGCCGACGTCTGAGCCTTGAGACCACTATAGTCCTCTGTAGCTGCAGGTTAACAGGGAAGTTAGTTATGATTATTAATTTTGATGAGCATCTATATTACGTGATTATTATTAACCACAGAACAACAGTGAGCATTTTGAACAAAATGAAAAAAAATCTGCTGATTTTAGGATTAAAAAAAACAAATAAGAGGAACTTACATATGACATTTTGCTCTCTTAAATGGTCCAACACTGGCTCCACACTCTTCAGTCGCTGAATCAGCGCTGCTTGGTGTCTCTTCACAAAGGTGAAACCATCTGAAACAAATGAAGACAAAATTAATTTATTGTTCATGGACTTCACGTTAAATGGCCTGAGAGCAGCTGATAATGCAACTAATAGTGGTGATTTTATTTTAAGGACAATACATTGCAGAGATCATATTTTCACTGTCAGCTGTACCTGATGCCATCGCCTCCGCCAGCATCTCTCGCTCCTCCTCCCTCTTCTGGTCCTCGGCACTCAGCAGGTCTGAAACCAGCTCCTGGACTGTTCTGTAGTTCTCTCCGCTGGTCAGGATTTTGCTCTGTACTGTTTGCTTGACTAGACTACGCTCAAAGCCCATCTCTAAAGCAGACTTGATCACGGGGGTGTTCATCATGACAGCATCCTCAGACCGCTCCTCTCCTGGACCGAGGTGAACAACTGAGGGGAAAGAGAGGGTACAAATGTCAGGCTGGATGATATGTCTGTCTTTAAACCCTTTACATAATTCCACATCAATAAGGTCCATTCAGACTTGGACACAATAAATCATGTCAAACTAACCAGGTGGATCCACAAACTCTCTGGAGCTGCTGTCTCCATTTGTTAAGAGCTTTTGGGGAGAAAACAGAAAAATAAGCATTTTTTTAAAATAACTTTTTGAATGCAAACGTTTGAAATAATATCAGATCTTTATGTAGCTTTGTACTGACCTGTTCAAACAGCCGCGGGAAGCGAGCCTGAATCTGGTGAACAAACTCTTGTCCCTTCTCCTGGAGCAAATATTCACACCTGAAATCAACCCAGAGCAAGAATACAAACGTTGATACATTTACTAAGTGCTCTGGAAAACATATTTTAACACCAAACTGAATGATAAATAATAAAGCATAATTTTAAACCGTAGCATTTACCGAGGGAACCATTTTGCATGTTCCACCCAAGGGTCATCTCCGGACTCCCAGCATCGCAGGCCGCCATCGCAGCAGAAACACTTGACGTCATCGTTACGACCTTGAGGATAACCAAAGAGCTGTCAGTGTGACGAGTAGTTTTGGGGGATTTCTATGGATTCTGATAAAGATGACTGTTTGAAACCAATTTGAATACATGTTTGTTTCTCATCTTTCAGTTTCTCTTTTGGGCGAAACCATTACTATTAATCTGATCACATCTGGATGCCAGATTTAGTATTATCACGAGAAGTCCCGAGAAAGATTTCTGTCAGGACTTTCCAGCACCAATAAAAAACTGGACAAATACTGATACTGACAAATATCTGTCTGCAGTAGCTACCCGTAAACAGGGGAAAACTCTTACTGGTATTAAAACTGTTTCAGGAAAGGGGAAATAAATTACCTAATTCCAACCTTTCATCTGCACATACGTAAATTCTCTGAGGGACTTTTGGATGTTTGGAGGTCTGTTTTTGGCCACCTGATAAATGTAAGTTCAGTATTCACCCTCCCTCTCGCTGTTAAATGCTTCTTCTTATCAGGTCACAGTGATGGAGTAACTGTGCCACTTTGATATTGTGCGTACCGACATAGTAGAAGCCAGCTTTAGACAGCTGGTCGGGCCGAACAGGGATACGAGACGGCCAGTTGACAAAAGTGAGCAGCCTCTCTTCGCTCTGCTGCATAGCAGGGTTGGACACATTACTGAGAGCTGGGGCTCCAGAAGACAGTTGGGAAGTAACTCCTCCGGACGCAGCTCCAGCCAGCGACACGTTGTCTGCTCTGTCCCCCCGCACAAAACGACAGTTTGGATAATGCCTCTGGTGCTCGGATACGGCTCTGTCACCTGGCTCCCAGTTACTCAACTGTAAACACAAACATAAACTTCAGTCATATCTACTGATCAAGAAATAAAGGTGGATGTACTATAGCCTGCATTACACTGCACTCTGTGTACTTATAAATGTCAAACACTCTTCCATACAGCAGCTGGGTTTGTGTCCCTGTAATCCGTACCTGTCCTCCACAACTGAAGCAGGCCACTCTGTCGCCCTGGCCAAGGTAGTAGAAGCCCGCCTTGGCGAGCTCAGCGGGAGTAATAATGGAGAGTGTCCAGGGGTGGAAGGAGTCCAGGCGGTCCTGCTCTCTGCGCATGCTAGGGTTGTGGCATGTTGGTCTCTGGTGGGACATGTCCTCTACGCCACGAGAGCTGAGTGGGCTGGAGGGCGGTGGAGCGGAGAAGCCCATATTTAGGTAGACTGGCTCATCACCTTGGCTTACTGTCGGGTTAGGAGCGGCTGGGCCTGGACCAGAAAGCTGGAGAAAATGACGCAAAATTTAAGAATTTTCTCAGATAGCTTATACGATTAGGAAAGGCGACTACAGTAGTTTAAGAGTATACACGTTACTCTCTGATATTATTTCATTTCTTTAAACTTCTGCTGATCTTACTGGTATGGCTGGAGCAATGCGTAGTGGGGAGAAGGCGGAGTGAGAGGAGGAGAGCAAGTTGGCTGTAGACGGAAGGCTCTGGATGAAGGAGCAGGAAGGAGAAAGCTGCCTGTGTTTCTCTGTTGGACAGTCTCCAGCCTGCCAGCCCTCTGCTGTCACGTTACACCTGAAACACTGCACCCGGTCGCCCACGCCGGTGTAGAACCAGCCTGCTCTCGCCAGACTTCGCTCTGTGACTCCTGAAGCTGGGAATCGGGCGAAGGTAGAGATGCGGAAGAGCTCTGCAGATGAAAACAACATCATAGCAACACATTTCCTTGAGAACATATCAGATGGTTGGATACAAAAATGATCTTAATGTATTTCTGATGACGAAAAAAAATGAAAGAGACTGATACCTGAGGAGTTATCATATTGCAGGTCAGGTGGGGGCCCATTGCGACACAGCCCCATTAAGAACGGGTTATTTTTGAGTTGAACAAGTGTTTCCATTTTTGGATTTAAGTTTAGAAATATAAGGCAAAAGAGATGTCCGTCAAAGGGAGAGGGGTTTGAGAAAACCCAAGGTCTTGCTTTCTCACACCGACACACTCACTCACACTGCAACAGATAATCAACTCAAATCAAAAAAACAGAAACAGTAAAGAGACCGAAAAAAGAAAGTGATGCTTGGCTAAGTGTGAAACTTAATTACCAGTCCAGTAACCACTATCATTACACTGTACTGGATACAAACTGCATGACGTGCCTGGGGATACGTCATTTCTTTTCTTCCAACAACCTGTTTCCTACATGTAGCCCAGACTTAACACCTGGGTGGATTTTACCTGTACCTAGCAGTGAGTGCTACCTCTGAACCTTTCAGTAAGAGTCCCAGTGGATGTACGGCCAACAGAACACATCCTGTGCAGAAAAAAAGGATGGACTATTCTATTAAAATTTTATTAAAATGCATCCTTAAATCAATAATCAGAATATTACCCTGTGGTCACATCACCCAGGATCAGTACACACTTTATTACCTTGTATATTTAGCAAAGACATGTCTAATAAATCAACTAGCCATTTAAACTTAAACATGTGATAAGTGATTATGTGTACTAACATTAGAAATTAAATAAATATCTCAAGCCCAAACACACACACACACACACACACACACAGACCAAGGGATATATACTCTCAAACCCCTCCCCCCATCTTGGACATCCCTTTTGAAGGTGTCTAGGCTGCCATAATTGAATACTAATAACCCAATAAGAAAAATTTAATCCTCCTTTGGTAAGGATAATGGATGCTCCACTTTGGTTTAATTATAGCAGTATCTGTAGAAATAAGGAAAAAACAAATACAGAAAAATGTTTAATTAATTGTGTTCATATAGAAATTCTTCATGGAAGGATAAAAAATACATACACAGATCCTCACACCACTTTAATATAATGGTAGAGATTATAGGATTTGAGTATTTCACGAATTAGGAGTATTATATTTTTAAGCTGTTAAACAGTATAATTCTAATATGTAAATGATAATGAAAGAGGAAACAAATATTAGCAAAGAGGATGCACAAGTTTGTGTCATCATTCACTGTTGAATAATAACAAAGTACATTTGACTTCAACAAACAATTTTCCAGAGAACAATGTGACATGATTACTTGTTCTGTCTGACCAAGAGTCCAAAACCTTAAGATACTCAAGTTATAATTATATTAAACAGAAAAAAGCAGCAACTTCTTGCATATAAGAGGCTAGAAACAAAGACTGTTTGGGAATTTTGCTTTACAAATAACTTTAACGATTAAACCTTCCATTAATTATTCATTACAGGGGTAATCATGTGACATAGTATTGCATTTCCACAAAGATGAGAAAGTCACAGGGGACAGATTTTAATAAGATTGGTCAAAACCATAAAGCAACAAAGACCAAGACATCCTGATCACTTGATCCTATATATATGTTACAATTGAGCCACAACCTGCAGGGCTGAAAAATGAAGTCAGGCAAATAACCAAAAGCAAATTGGTTTCCACTGACCCCTATGTTAAAATGCTCAACTTTACAGCAGAATTGATGGTTTTGGTCTCTATAGCTAATTTTTCCCTTCATGACAACTGTTAGGCATAATTAAGGGTGGGCCACTTTGAGTTAAAGTCACTTCTGACACTTCTCTCACTTCTGTAATGTTGAACTCGAGGCTTGAAATGGGAGTCCACAAACCAAAGGATGATGTCACAGTCGCTAAGTCCATTATTTTTGCTGTCTATGGTCATAACGCCACTGATAACATCATTGTATTGACTCCTTGTATCTGATATATGCCTTTCAATATTCATTCCCCCTGTTTCTAATGCATTTTTTTTAATAATTAATTTTTTCTTTATCTATTCAGTCAAATTTAAACAAACACACAGTACTGTTAATGGAACTCACACATCCACAAGCCCCTGGTAGCTGCACCTTCTTAAACCCAAAACAGTAATTTAGCAACCACAGCAGTACAGGTAAACACCAATCATTACAGTGCAGCAGGCATACACAAACAAAAATGCCTGCCTATCAGCTCTGAAAGCTTTCAACTTCATCGTTCCCACTAGCTAACATGTGTTTTTATGACACAATGTCAAACATAGATTTCCTTCATTTTTCAAAATCTGAAGGGGATGCATTTTTCCAGAGTCTGAGCATGATTCGAGCAGCTGTGACAACCTCTGCATTTATCACAAGGTCATATTTTGACACAACAGGAAATTCTGTTCAGTCCCCTATAAGGTATGACCTTGGTGATTTAGATACTGTCATACCCAACCACTTCCCTATGTGATCCACAACTTTTTCCAAAATGGGTTGACCAATTTATATTCCCAGATTTGCATGCAGAAATGTTCCTGCTTCTGTCTGACAATTCAAACATGAATCATTAGTCAGCAGACCCACCCTGTGGAGATTAGAAGGAGTAAAGTAAAACCTTTAAAAATGTTTAGTCTCCAAGCCCAAGCTGAGATAACCCCGATGACATCATCAGGGTTATCTTCTCTGACTTAATAAAGCTTTTCCGGAGCCACAGACGACATTATACAACTATTTTCCCAGGCTGTGTGGTACTCCTCATGATGAGTAAACTGACATTTTATGTGGAAAATCTGTGGAGGGCCCCTTTAACAAAGCTGACAATTAACTTCCTTAATTTATCTGATAAATCACCAGGAAGTGAAGGCAGTACAGCTAGGGTCTACTGGTGAGTATGACACCATAAACTAAAGACTTCAGGGAAAAAACAATCAATATTTATATGACTGGTATGTTTTTCCAGCAGGGTATGCTAGGTACTTTCCTCAACATGTCAGTAGCTTACTGATCGGGTTACATGATCAGCCGCCGCCGCCGCCACCAGGCACTTCCGGTTTTAGCTTTGGTATTATTGTGGTTCAATTCTGTTTTAGCTAACATTAGCAACGTTAGTTAATAGGGATGGCATTAGACGGACCTAAAATTTGGTTGGGCAGTCAAATATAAACTAAAACAAACATTTAGCTAGCAGTTGCCGAATGACGTGACATTCAACGCACCACAGAAACCAGTTTGACAAGATCAACGGGCGTTAGCTTGCTAAAGCTAGCTGCTAATGCTAACAGCTGTTAAACTTTACTCCAACGCCCTGCGTATGAATCTGCAGCAAGCACGGAGAAAGGAAAACGAAAATGTCCGGTCTGAGTGGCACAAACACTTGAGACAACAGATAAGACAGCTGACTAACAAGTCCTTTCCGATTGTGGACCATACTCACCGTTTCGCAAGTGGGTACGGAAAGTCCCAGTGTGACGGCGGAGGTTCTCGTCACGGCTCTGTCTGCTTCCGGTTATCAGTGAAATGAAAATGGAACAGAGCAGATGTGTAAATGGGTTAGGACTCTCTCAGGTAAGTCCCTCAGGTAATGTCAGCTGTCTCACAGCTGGTTTGGGCAGCTTCTTGTGGGGTAAACCCCCTGTTCTGACTGATTAATTAGGCCCACATAAAATACCAGTACACTCACATATCAATAAAGCATGACGGTTGCCAGGAATGCCTTTGTTGTTGCGTCATCTACTGGGAAACTGGGACATTTGATCATAGCAAACACACTGTAATTTTCCAAATTTTGTATAGAAAATGAAGACCAACACTGTGACTATTAATTTTGTCTCAATTGCACTGACCTGTCCAGCCATATACTTTGTAAAGATGAATGTGTAATCATCTTCACAGGCTATTATACTTACATTTTTTTTTTACATGTGGCTTCTGTGATCATCTAACAGTCTTATTTACTTGTTAACTATATTTTAAATTGATAAAAAAAAAATAAATGAAAACCTCAATTTGCTAAGTAAAATCACATTAAACAACCACAGCAACCTGCAGACTTCTGTAAAACAGCCATTTGTGTACAAATTGTGTAATACAAATGTACAAATGTTATATAACATTCCTAAATATGCAGCTTTGGAAGAACATAATTTGCATATTTTACTTTAATAAAAGTAGCAATAACGCTTTGTGTCTGTCTTAAATCCAAGATTTCACTTAAATAAATGTTTGAAACAGCAAAATGTACTTAAAGGATTAAAGTAAAAGTACTGGTTGGGCCAAATGATTCCTTTCTGAGTGTTATATTATTATATATAACATATTATTTAAATATAATAACAGATAGTTTAACACATAAGCAGCATTTACATGTTACAGCTGGTGGAAGTGAAACATATTTTAACCACTTTACATACTGTTGGATGATTTAATCTAAAGTAACTCCAGCTTTCAGATAAATATATTGGAATAAAAAGTACATTATTCACCCCTGACATGTAGAGTAGAACTATAAAGTAGTATTAAACTGAACTACTAAAGTAAGGTAAAGTACCTCAAAATATACATAAGTACAGTTCTTCAGTTAAGGTACTTGGTTAAAAACTTGTCACTAAGGTTTTAAATTTAAGTTAATTAATGGTACAAGGAATGTTCTCATAAGAAAAGATACTTACAGAGGTCGAGTCCTTGCTGAAAAAGAAGACGACTCATACACTTCAGAAGTCATTCAAAAAATGCCTCACATGTGGTACTTCCCCTAACTTCCTCCTCTATAACCACTCCCCCTTAACTACTAAAGATGTGTCACCTCACAGTGCTGCATGGATTTTACTGACCTTTTATGATACAACAATCTACTTTCAAAAGCAGGTGGCTTGTCTCTCCCTACATTGCTTTTTGTAAAGTACCTGTCATTTCTTCAGAACGTTCTCCCCCTGTCCCCCAGGGTGAAGTTCACATAACTTTCCATCACTGAGTGCTTAAAAACTCAGCATTTAGGACTGAGTTAGTCAGATATGAAAAATATATATATAATTACAGAGAGCCCCATTCCAGGAAATCCCTAAATCCCTGCAGCCTAAAATGATGCGTTCAAGGGCAGGAAACGATCTACAAATGTGTAACAAAATATGCATCCTACATGTGGAGACTTGATTGTGTGATTATGTTGAGTTCAATATATGTATAAAATCCAAGGCTCTTTGGAAAGCAACTGACACTGAGTGAATAATCTATCTATCTATCTATCTATCTATCCATATACTTTACTTTCTCTACTTTATAT